ATTAGGCCTTAGCGCCATATGCCACAACACCATAACGAACTTCGCGATCTGCTCGTTATAAGAACCTCGGCCAACACATTGAATAATCAACCCATCTCATCTCCAGATCACCGATATTTATTAAATCACTGTGTGAATCTAATAGATATACTACTACTAGTAGTATATTCATGCTTATTAGATAGCCTAGGGTTACCATAACATAAATATACTTTTTTATTTTATTTATAGGAAGACGATAGCTTACCAATTCTATGGCTTTAGATTATGCAATATGCTAATTTCTTTTTTTTAATGATTTTTTTTTTAATTTCTCCAAGTCCAAAATATTAACTTCACACAGCTTAGCAGGCCACGCACTGCTCTGGAGATATTGCCGCTGTCAACGTTGCGGCGTGGAGCTTGCCTGTGACTAGCTAGAACACGGGCAACCTCAATTCTCCCACGAGATCATTTGATAATTATGACTCCTACGACAAGACTGGTCACTATAGTCTGACGTTGACAGACATACATGGGTACATTGACAGAGTGCGGGTTGCCCAGTGTCCGTTCTGGAGGTTCGTCGCATTATTACGAGAACATATCTCACATCGTCAGTACACGTCTCATTGGCTTGTGAACTGACAATTTCACGAAACATATATAAGGAAATCCGAGAGTGTGTCTGATAGTGACAGGACTCTGAGGCTGCAGCGTGGAGCATCATTAAAAAGGCTCATTGAATGGCACGGTTTTCTTCACCGAGCTGGTATCTTGATTCTACGATACGAAAGGCCTTTGCGTCTCAGTCAGTGTGATGAAAGATGAGCGATCAAAGACTGCGGATGTAACGATCTTGATTCAATTACGAAGAAACAAGTGGGGTATCAAGCGAACGTTCGCTTTCCACAAAGCACTACTAACTCACGCTACCTATGGACATTGAACACAATATTGCAAGGAAAGTCCCGCACTAATTTCCATAATTATTTCATACCTTTCCCAGCACCGTCCTGTCATTAAAAAATATAACTGTATCCTCAATCAGTGTGTTATGGGCGACCAATCCACCATGCACTAGTCGTTTTGTTTTCTCGTTACCGTCGTCCGACGGGAGATATTAGTGCCAAAAAGATGGTTTAGACCGTGGGGTTGTGGGTGGGAACGTTGCCACCGAGGCCATCTGAAGCTGGGGCAGCGACAGGAGTCGTTCCGCTAGTGGTCGCGGTCGTTGTGCCGTTGGTAACACCAGTGTTGTTTCCAGTTACAGGGACCCCATAGTCATTTGTCGCACGCTTCTCATGGACAGCGACATCATTGTCGTAATCGGTGATGTTAAGTCCCAATCGCGAAGGTTCGATGTTTCGGTGGCCCCAAATGAGAAGAGCGCCGAAGACAGGCTTAGCCAACAAGTCAAGAATCCCGTAGAAGATGGCTTCTGAGTCAGGCGCAATGACATTGCCGCCTTCACAAACACCCCAGGCAATGGGGTACAGGAGCCAGAGAAGCGAGGTAAGTGAGCCACAGTAGAGGAATGCCTTGCCCACATCATTGCCGAAGCGGTTCGCGTTACGGCGTGATTCCCAACCGAGATGGTACAGAATGTAAAAGAGAGCGAAGTTGCCGAAGGTGAAAAACCCCCACTTGTACCGCGAGGTAACAAGCGCGCCGATGAGTCCAGTGACGATCATGACCCAGTCGGCGAAGATCACGAAGAAGATAGTCGGCCAGGGCATACCCGCAGTCAACATCAGATCCAGCAAGAGGAGAGGCGTCGTGATGAACCAGTCGATGTATCGCACATAGAACATCTCGCGGAATGTGCCGCGAACCTTTGGGTCGGAGCGGAAGAACTCAACCTCAACCGGCGTGAAGCCGAGATTGGAGCCCATGCAGAAGTATGCAATGGCAGCAGTGAACACGACGGCGGACGTGATGTAGTGGAAGATACGGGTGTGACGCGGCTTGCGCACCGCGAGACCCATGAAGGCGAACCCGGCAACAGTCATCACGGCACATACTGTAAAGTACCAGTCTGAGCCTCGTGTGGTGATTCCGATATCTGCCGTACGGCCGTTCACGGTGTTTCCTGAGATGTAAGCTCAAAGTCTTGATAGATGTCTGACAAGGAGCAGGCTCACCGTTCAGACGGAGCGCATTGTTGCGGCGCTCAAGTTGAGCAATTTGTTCTCCCAGAGGACCCATCCTGGTGACCTTGATGTTTTTGATTTGATCGTCGAACAATAGGGATGAAACAGCTCCGTGTTGAGATAAGAAGGCGAAATGATGCTACGAGGTGCTGCAAGACAAGATATAGTCCCTGTGGTCTGATTCTGGGGGTATGACGAAAGCGAAACGCTCTTGCAGAAAACTGACTTCGACAAAACCATCCCTACCAGCGTCAGTTCCAAGATCACGTTGTATTTCCCGATCTCCACCGCCGGATGCACCAGGTAAGACCATTACCACAGCATCGGAAGGATGGGGCTTACCTAGTAAAACACCGCGATTTTCACGAACAGCTCACACTGTGTGCATCGTCGCCACTTGCCCTGTAGCATTTTGCCACGAATTCTATGTTCAGGTCGTAGAACGACCTTGAAGTGGGGTAGGAGCCTGTCGCTCTACTCGCCCTCGACATGGGACTTGCGGAAATGTATGCTTGCAAACCTTGACGACGATGATATCAACACTCTTTCACGCCGGGGCATGGAAATTGCACTAGCGGCAAATAGCCTAGCGACCGCAATACGCCGAAAGCTTACTTCGAACTGACGTCGATCGTCTGAGCTTGGTTTTACATCACTTTGAATAAAGAATCAATTATTCGCATATGATTGGTTTAAGTTACCCCGCGAATCCAAGGCTTGTCGCACCGAAACTGCACGCCGCAGCCCATTGGCAAGTAATGCAGAGCTTGTGTTGCTTAAGTGATTTTGAACGTTGTGGCTGATCATTGCTAGTAACGGGATGTGCAGGCAGTCGACTCTGCATTTATCCATGTGAACATGTGATGCACTCGCTTGCGCTCGATTTGGGGGAGGAAACTTTGATGTGAATATCAATGTCTCAGTAAGGCGGTGGGTCAGTGCTTGTGCTGCACTGACCCCGCAGTTTAATATATGTTTGGGTATCAATTGTAGAGCTTCACTGGTTGAGGGTCTTCCAAGCTACTCCTATGCGCCTCCATCTTGGCACAGTTGCTCTTCCCGCTTTGACAGCATATCCTTTCTGTCGTAAAACTCTACCAATCTCCATGTAGCTTTCTACAGCAACCCTGATAGGTCCGCGGGCCTCGGCAGGTAGCTCGTCGATAGCATCTCGAGCGTTCTCATACAGCGCAAATGCCTTGTCGAGAAGCTTCGTACGCAGTTCCTCAACCCCCGTGCCCTCTGGGTCGTGCAGCACAGAACGGTATGTCTTTCCAGCTGCCTTCAGCCATGTCGTAGGGAGATATACGCGTCCAATTTTGGCGTCCACGGAGATGTCGCGAGCAATGTTGACATACTGAAGTGCTATTCCCATGCGGTTGCCAGATTGGATGATTCGACGTTGGTCTTCCAATGACAGTGATGTACAATAGATGTGAAAGATAAGCTCATTGCACATTTGTGCAACAGTGCCAGCAACCCTTTGCGCGTATACTTCTAGGTCGGCATCAGTCTGTATTGGAGGTGCACGGTTGAACGCGAGATCCATGTCAAAGCCGCGCAAAAGGTCTTGCAAAGGTTGCCGTGATAGTCTCGAGCATGGCAATTGTAGCAATGCGGATCGAGTGTCTTGTGGAAAGCTGTCTGTAACGTATTGTTTGACCGACTTATCAGCCTTCTCAGCGCTTCCATATGCAATGTCTAGAAAGCGCTGCAACCTCGCGATCCACTGCTTCGCATCTTCGGCTGAAGATGCATTATCGACGAGATCGTCAGCAACGCGGCAGAACGAGTACAGCAGCATTAAATCCGACCGCAGCTGTCCCTGGAATGTCGATGAAGCAAGATAAAAGCTTCGGCTCTTTCGTTTCAAGCGGGTGACGGCCTCCTGCAGGCCAATCAAACGCGCTTCGTCGTATCTGGAGGCAGATATACACAATGCGTTGATAAGGGCGATTGGTGAAGGGAGCACTGTCGGCCGGGGAAAGAGTTGTGGAAATGTGTACAAGATGGCCAAAGCATTGTCGAACGCAAGCTGTCCGAAGACGATGAGGGTGTTGGTCAACAGGAAGAACAGGGCTTCCTCGATCTCCAGGCCATCCCAGAGGTGGATACCAAATTTCGTGCCGGAGCTGATGACCCAAGTCCCTCGTTTTAGGGCTAAGGTGTCGATAACCCAAAGATATAGAGTTGGAAGCGCGATCGGTAAGAGGGTGTTGGACAGTGGTAATCCTAAGATGAATTGATATGCGAGGCTCCTGTGCAATCGTGAGTGTCGCTCTATAAGTTTTGCAGTGCTTCGTTACCATAAAAGCAAGAGAAACGGAACCGCCCAAATGAGGATGAGGCCGGTGTAGGTACCTACACCGTTGTCGACAACCAGATGCGAACCCCAGCCGATGGAGACAGCCAGCACGAGCTGGCCAAGGCGTTTATACCACCGCCATTGCTGATTGCAAGGTCCAAGGGGGTGGGACTTCTGTCGCTCTACACGAAGGTAGGCGGGTTGGAAAGTTGGTCTGCTCAAGATGATGTACAACAATGAGGTGTTGTATGTCTGGATAACGAAGAAGAAGACTTCCTCTGAGGGAATTTCGAACAGTTTCGGTCCAACGATGACATGGCTAGGATAGCTCCAGATGCCGGTTCGTATGAGATACGAATCCCAGGGTATGGTGGAGACGACGGCGATCTATCGATGTGAGAGAAAGTCGCGATCCGCACTCGTAAGTACATACTGTTACCAGAAAAAAAATCTTGTAGACGTCCAATCGCGTGAACAAAGGGCGGTAGAACAGTGTAAGGAGTAGGGCAGGTGGGACAGTGTACTTGACATGGCTACACAGCTGGGGTCAGTAGCAACTCGATTCTTCAACTGTGAGCCTCACGTACACAAGTGCATAATCGAAACCCATGGTGGAACAATGAGCGCTCTTTCACATGTGCCCCCGGCCGAACACGGGGATTGAAGGGCACCGAACGCAGGGCACGGTGCTAGAGGGCAGCCGTTCGGCAGCAGATGAATGAGACGCCATTGTTGCGAGACCTGGGGAGCGGTTGGGGCGGACATGACGCGCTGGCGGCGAGGACGCTAGCGGAGACGCGCCGTGCCCCGAAGCGGTTTGGGGCGGCGCATCAAGCTCAAACATGTCGTCATGGATAAACGGCGCTGATCACCCCCAGATGCAGGCCTACAACGAGATCGCGACGCCGGGGCACCACCATCGTTCCAGGCTGCTGTCATCTCGACGTGCAGGTTCCGCTGGCTGCCGGGCCCTGGCGAGCTCGACTGCCACGCTCGGATGACGACGCCGGCACACATGTACCCAATTTCACATGCACGCCGCCCGCAGCAGGTTCGAGCATGAGATTTGAGCCCTGGTGCTGCTCCACCTCGGCGCGCAAATGACATGCGCCAGGTAACGCCCGTCGCTGCTACCTCTACTACTGCTGCTCAATGTGGCCAAGTCTCGCAACCTCACCATGTCCGCCAGAGGACACGAGAGAAAGCAATGGGCACCTCATCCGTACGTGCAAGATGCCACCAGCTGACGGTCCCCTTCACTAACGGCGCTGTAGCTATCTGGCTGGCAACTTTGCGCCGGTAACCACAACCTCAGCGCCGCAGCCTGTCGAGTACTCGGGCACCGTGCCAGATGAGCTCCAAGGGGGCATGTACGTGCGGAATGGCGGCAATCCCATATCCAATTCCGACCTGGGGCGAGACGCCCACTGGTTCGACGGCGATGGCATGCTCACGGGCGTTTGGTTTGATCGCGCTGCAGCCGGTACAAAGCTGCCTACGCCACGCTTTGTCAACCAATTCATCCTGACCGATCTGTGCCTCTCGACTCTTGAAAATTGCACGTTGAGAACGCCTGTCATGCCAAGTATCACCACCTTGGTGAACCCGGTAGCACGAATGGTCGAAATTCTCTGGAGGATCTTTCGAAGCGCCATCTTGGTTCTCTTGTCGCATCTTCCTGGCTCTGCGCAAGCCATCAAGAGGATCAGTGTCGCCAATACAAGCATCTTGTATCACGACGGACGGGCGCTGGCGACATGCGAGAGCGGACCTCCTATACGCATTCAGCTTCCAGGACTCGAGACTGTCGGGTGGTACGATGGAAATCGGACGGAAGGCGAGCCTATAGAAGAGCAGAGAGATGACGGCCCTGGTTTTGGTGGCACTGGAATTAACAGCTGGATGCGCGAGTGGACCACTGGACATCCAAAAGTCGACCCTGCGAGTGGTGAAATGATGCTCTTTCACTGCAACTTCATTCCACCATTCGTCCACTACTCCCTCCTTCCGCAAGAGCAGTCGAAAACCCAGTCGCAGCCATCGGCGTACAAGAAGTTGCTGAACGCCCCAGTGCCGGGATGCTCGGGCGGTAAGATGATGCACGACTTTGGTGTTTCCAGGCATCATACCGTGATTCTGGATCTACCACTCACCCTCTCTCCGTTCAACATGATGAAGAACAAGCCGATCGTCGCCTATGAACCCAAGAAGGCAGCTCGATTTGGAGTTTTTCCTCGCCGGGTTCCTTCGGCAGTGCGTTGGTTCGAGACCAGTGGTTGCTGCATTTTCCACACGGCAAATACTTGGGACGAGTTGGACAGTATGGGTCACACGGTTGCGGTTAACATGCTGGCCTGTCGTCTGACTTCCGCATCCTTGGTATTCAGCGCAGGAAACCTCACACCCCCGCCGCATCCGAATCACAAGGGACCGCAATATAACAAGCGAATGTCCTTCTTTGCGAAGTACGATGATGATGACGGGGTGAAGGACCTAGAGAAGGTTTCAAGTAATGAACGTACGGCTCTACTAGCGGAAGATCATCTCGCAAAATATGGTCCCCCAACTCCACCCATCTCGGAAGACGACGAAGAACAGTGCCGCCTCTATTACTACCGCTTTGACATATCAAATACCGCATCCAACAAGATCACCGACCAATACGCGTTATCGAGCATTCCCTTCGAGTTTCCTACGGTCGCTCCAGATGTGGAAATGTCGTTTGCTCGTTTTATTTACGGTTGCAGCACCTCCAACGCTTCTTTTGGTGCTGCCCTAGGAAAAGCAACAAAAATCGATGTGATCGTCAAGATGGACGCTGAGACCTTGCTCGCACGTGCGAAGGCCACCCCTCCGGACAGCGTATCGGGATGCCTGGATACACGCTCTGTTCAAGAAGTTATCGCCGCCAACAACCCCCAGGATCCTATCCGCATCTTCGAACTCCCGCCACATCACTTCGCGCAAGAAGCGCGGTTCGTATCTCGGCAATCTGCCATCAGTGAAGACGACGGATTTCTTCTGTTCTACGTGTTCGACGAGTCACAGCTTGACGAATCTGGCGAGTGCAAGCCTGATGCGACTAGCGACCTCTGGGTACTCGATGCTATGGATATGCGGACTGTAATCTGCAAGATACATCTGCCTACAAGGGTACCATATGGTCTCCATGGGAACTGGTTCAGTGAGGAGAAGATACAAAAACAGCGGGCAGTAGAAACTTTGAGAGATATGCCGGTAGAGGGAAAGCGGACAACATGGAAGAAAGTCAAGGACTATTTGATAGATGCTCTGAGATAGGCTAAGCCTTTGGTTTTGAACGGAGTTAGTACCGTTGCGCAGCTGGCTGTGCGATCTGAGGCGGATAGATACCCACAAAGTAATGCATAATGTTATCAACGAAATGTGCGCGTGTAATAATTTCCCTTGGTGTGACATGCATGCATACTATAAACAAGTGCTGAGGTATTACCCAGTCTGCGTAAGAGCAGAGACACGCTCATCTGTTTCGGAGCTTAATGTGGGATGATGGCGACTTACACTATGCTGGACATGTGCGAAGTGTGCATGCTGCCAGGAATTCTGCAGAACTGGTATCGCATTTGGGAATAGCAAAGAAAACAAGGTCTAGTCTGACTGCGGTGCGCCTGAAAATCAGTACCTGCGTTGAGTCGAAGGAACTGCTGCTGCGTTGCGTCTCGAGACTCACATTCAAAGGCTTCAACTACCATTCCAACCCCTTCTAACCTGTACTGCCTTATAACGGGGACAAAACTATCACCATGGGCTCCTCTTCATTCAAAGTTCCCATTCTACGTCTCCACTTTCCACTCGCGACGATGCTGAGATTGCCAAGGCGGTGTCTACCTTTACCCAAGTGACCTCGGAAAAGAATATATGGGGTTCCTGGCACTCGGGCGCGAAAAACTTACCAAGATGGTGCCGCCGCAATATCGTAGACTAGGTACGTATCAACAGGCCTTCGCAGACAGTCCGCATCCTCCAATCTGACCCTACTTCACCCAATTATCTCGTCAACTACGTCTCTGCGAATATGATGCCCACTTCCATTACCTCAAATGCCATGACTGGTCCTTTCACCGGTCAGCACACGGCAGACTTCGTCCGCAGCGCCACGATCTACTTACGCGGCGGGTGCTTCGTCGACGTTGGAACACTGCTCATGCGGCACCCAGACTGGATATGCTGGGATAAGTTGACGGAAGCGGGAAGTCCGTACGGATTGGCAATCCCAAGCATCACCAAAGAGAACCGCAAATCAGTTCGTTGCGTGCTGCAAAAGTGACTCGTTCATCCGCCTGCAGCACGAGCTGATGCTGTACTTCTGGAAAGATAAGGCTGAGAGCAAGAGGACAATCATGAGTCATCCACTGATCTAGCTCGTGCTGCAGGCGGGTCGGCCGGAGGTGAGCGAGCCGCTGGGGTGGGATCCCATCGATCTAATCACAATTCCGGAGTATATAGGCTGGCGTTCCAGAGTATGTGCTGGCTTGGCAAGGCGGATGAGGGCTTCAATTGCGCGGAGTATTTTGCGCAACACGTCCTGACGTGGGATGCGCTGGGGGAGAAGTAGGCAGCTGATTGTTTTGTGAAAAGTGTAGGGCCGTATCCGAGGATCATGGAATTGCTTGGAATGCGGAGAGATGCGGGTCAGGAGACGGAGGATTGGAAGGAGGCATATGCATGGACGTGGCGGGTTCTGACGAGGATAGTGCGGTGAGGGTACCTTCTGGATAAATTATGACGGCCACAATTCATCTGAGCGTGCTATGGAGTATGTGGGAGAATGAGGGCAAGAATTGTGGGAAAGATGCCTTTGCGGAGCTGTTGAGGCATGGATCTGTGTAGTATGAGCAAACAAGAGGGGAAACACTGTACCTGAAGGTAGAAAAGCTGGAATGGATCGTGTTTGGCCTCGACTAGGAGATCTACGTGCAAATCAAAAAGAAGAATCGGGTGTCGAGAGAGGCATTCGGAGATGCATATCACGGGCTTACATGGTGAGCGTGCGTTATCAGCATGGCCACTATCGCCGAGGCCGGGATATCTCCATGGTGGTACCACCAACTATGTGTAGGCCCACCAACAGGCTCCTGGAGCGTGCCGACACGCAAATGGCGAGAGAGGCGAATGCGATAGCCACAACACATGCATGGAGCCCCGAATAGCGACGCTGCTGGGGAACTCGCCCACCGTCACCGCGCTCTCGCGGACGCCTCCCCCGCGAAAGCCGCACCCCGTTGAGCCCACGACAACAAACCACCATGGAAATGCTCGCGCGAACGCAGCCCCGACGACGGCGTCTCTGCCTGGTCAGAGCCAGAGCCAGAGCCAGAGCCAGAACCGCCACCAGCACAGTCCGAGCCAAGAGGCTGCGCCGAAGCGGCAGAAGCCCAGCGCCCCGATCGCGAGCGTGCTGAACACGGTTACGCCCTTCAGCGGCCGCCTGAGTGACCTGCTGCTGGACCCGTCCCAGCAGCAGGCGGCACTCAAGCGCAAGAGAGGCGACGAGCCGGCAGACGGTCCGCCGCCGACAGGCGCCGAGAACTCGCTGCTGACGCTGCCGAAGCCGCATCAGCAGCCCAAGAAGAGCACAAAGCGACCGCGCATCCCGCCGCTCTTGCAGGGCCTGCATCAGGTGCCTCCGCAGGCGCAGAGCAGGCTGTTCCCGCCCATCACAAGCGAGTCGGGTGCCTTTGGGCGCGACCGCGGCGACGGCGCACCGCTGCGGGGCACCAACGGCCCAGAGAGGAGGAAGGAGCAGCCCACCGAAACACCGCTCCACGCAGCTCCAGGGGACCGCACGGCTGTCGCGCAACAAGACGCTCAGACCGAAGCACCAGCGAAGGGCGCCTCGGCCTCTGCGAGCGATGAGGAGAGCCGGGCAGCCGCCACCCGCTCTGCGTCGTCGCCAACAACAACGACAGGGACCAAAGAGCTGCGGAAAAGGAACAAGTGGTCGGAGCATGAAACCAAAGACTTGCTGCTCGGCGTCAGCAGATTTGGCATTGGCAGCTGGAAGAAGATTCTTCAGTGCCCCGACTTCACCTTCAATCAGCGCACTGCTGTCGATCTAAAGGACCGCTTTCGCACATGCTGCCCAGGAGAAGGCCTCAAGGCTAGGAAGCCGAAGCGCAAGGGAGATTCCCCTGGCGATAGTTCACAGAGCACGCCTACGTCCTCTACAACGTCGAGCATGTCAAGCAATCCAGATCCCGTTGCGCAGGAAACCCTGGAAACCATCGTCTCGTTGCGGAAACCCCGGGGAGACAACTATCGGAAGGACCGCGTAGACACCCATCGGAAAGGGCCGGCAGAGCTTCGCGAGATGGGTATACACGGCTCGTTCGCCAGAAACAATCGACGCGAACGTCGTGCCTTTACAGAGCAAGACGATGAAAATTTGCTGAAGGGTTTCGAAAAGTACGCATCATCCTGGCATTTGATGAGGGACGACAAGGACCTTGGCTTCTCCACTCGCCAGCCGACTGACCTGCGTGACCGTTTTCGCATTCGATTTCCCGAGATGTTTGCCAAGGCTGGATACAAGCTCAAACCAAAAGCCGAAGCAATGCTGAAGGAGAAAGAGAAGGGAAAGAACCAGGAAACTGCGCATATTCACACTTCGATTACGAGTCAAGACTCTCCGAGCTCGTCCAGAGCGAAAGACTCAGCCTCCGACACTTCCTTTTCCAGCCTGACATCCATCGCCACTTCCAATTCCAATCTCATGCCCCTCGCTCTGCGTGAGTCCTTCCTGACTTCTTTTGCTGGCCCGCTAGACGACTTCGGCGACCTTGACTCGGAGGCAGATGGCGACCACAGCCGTAGTCCCATCATCCTGAATCGCAACATCTTCGAATGGGCGGATGCGAACCCTTCCCAAATGAGTGCAGCTTCCGCTGCCAACCTCCCATCAATGGGGCCCTTCGCTAGCGACGTACCTCTCGGCATCTTCAATGCAACTGATGCCACGCATATCAACCCCATGGCCTTGTTAAACTCCACCGTGCCTTCCTCGACGTCGCAGCCATCCTCGTCCCATGCTACCACCTCGTCGCGCCTTCCCGATCCTTACCATCACGCAAACAATGCTACTGTGGGAACCTTAACAGCAATTACGAAGCATTCATCCGATCCCATGCTGCGCACTCCCAATCTTCCCACCATTGTCTTTCCACATGTCCCCGTATCAAGCGCTCGAAGCGCAGTTCATAATCTTCCTCCACCGGCGGACTTGCTTTCTGGCCTGGAGCCAGACGGACGACCTGAAGCACAGACAGTACCCTCCATGGACGAAGGCCCCAAAATGCGAACGCTGACTCATTCTATATATCTGGCGCGACACTGGCCCCAATGAACAGCATCCCAGGGAGGGAGATGCTGACCTTAGAAAAAGGCTTCTTGCGGGAGCCTTGTAGTAGCCGGGTCGGGGCGGCTGACATGGTGGAAGCCCTCGAAGAGATGTCGTCATGGGTTTTGGAACCAAATGATGCCATGATTTGTACCAGAGTCTCAAATTACTTACCGCGCGCATCCGCTGTCTTGCCCGATCACGAACATGGTCTCTACTGTTGTGTGCTGGCGTGCGATGTATGCCCAACCGTCTCTGACACGTCTTTCTTGTGGCCAAGATGATGTTGCGTGAGGAGAAGAGCTTGGATGGTAAGACTGGCTCGGGGCATGTACTGGAAGAAAGAGATCATGATGACCTAGATTATTCTATGTCAATAACGATACTGGCCAATCGATTATTGATGGTGTCCTTACGTCTTCGTATTCTACGTCTGTACAAGCGAAAAAGCAACAGCGCTAACGGTGCGCATGTCACAAGAAGTGCTACAAGGGCGATGATAGCCTCATCGGATAAGGGCATGTTTGCTGATGCGCTTTTTAATACTGATTGTTATGAAGACGAATCCGATTGCCTTGGTTGGAAGCAGCGTCTAGTGATCAAAGTCAACGATCGTGGCGCATGGTTTGCGGATGGACTACGGGTAGAGGATACCTATGGCAATTGGTGGGCACAGGCCTCAGTCAACTTGTAATTTAATATGCTTGTTGAATTTCTACAGGACTTGACAGTGAGGGTAGTTTGGGCGATGCTTCTTCACTTTTAAATGGAAAGCTGACCAGCGCATGATATCGGTGAACAGCCCTACGAAGGGTTCCCGTGCACAAGCAGGCGCTAAAGAAGCAGTCTTTGCCGTTTTAGGCGGGCGCTGGATAATGACCCCTCTTACCCCACGCTACATGAGGGCTCCGCCACAGGTCGCAGCTTGTACCTCGTATCGTAAGACGGGTGCTCGCGCCGTCGTACATGCCGACATTAGAGGCGTGCCTGAGCACATGATGTTCGGGTGCCGGTACAAGGCATAGATGGTATGTAGATATACGACGGGCCGCACTGGCAGCTGTCGGAGGTATAGGTAGAGCCATGCATTCTCACATTCGCACTCACCCAAAGTTCGGCACTGCCATTTCGTACACTTCATGTCATTGCCTGGACGTGGCCGCCTGTGTCGGCAGGGTCTGGGCGAGCAAGTCCAAGTCGAGTTCACGACCATGCAATGGCATGGAGAGGAGGTCGCGCGAATGGATCGTGACGCACGTGTGTGCACACGCTTACTTTGCCCTCCCGGGGAGATTCTTGCCACCATCTGCATGAGGCGAAGTTCAACGAACCTACTGACTGTTTCCAGGCTCTCAGATGCGTGCGCTGGGCGGATACTGGCAACTGCGGACTTGTATAGTACCCAGATGTGCTGTTTTGCTAGCTGTCTACACGCTGCACCATCATCAACTCGCGCGACTTCATTTTTATACTGTGGGAGAATGAAATAGATTTTGTAGTGGACACAGTGCTCTACATCCCTGTGAGCAGAATAAATTAAGAGGCATAAGCTCTAGCTGGTTTCACACCTACATTTCCCCACGGGCCGCACGTGCTGCGCACCAAGGGACTGGACACCTTCCAGGTCCCGCCCAGGGTGCCAGCTAGTGGCCTCGAAGTCAGAGATACTATAGGTTTGTTAGTACCGCGACTTGGTATGCAACCAAATCAGGTGTGGTGGGGCCTGCGCTCAGAAGAGCCCCTGCCACAGATCGCCCTCGACAGTCTAGATGGACATTTTTACAGGGTATCAGTGCTGTATGGCGAGCTCGCGCATACAGGCCATCTGTCAGCCTTGTACTATAGGTAGAACCCATCATTCTGCCAAATCTGCCGCAGCGCGAAGGTACCGGAAAACATAGCTTGTAGGCTTGAGCCTACAGTCATTTATTTCGCCGCGGATAACGTGAACAGCAAGCGAACCGGCCAGGCAAGCGAGCCGACCACCCTACCAAGATTGCGCACCTTTGTATATAGATGACCTAACACCACAACGAGCTACTATATTATACAAGACAATCTATAGTATTTTTCTTGCACGTGCGCGAGTTGTGTCCTACCTCCCTACAGCTTTTGCAGTGCCTTTTGCCACCTCTGCCTGCACCTGTTCGAGACCTACCATCGCGCGTTTCCCCCTCCAGTTGTGCCTGAACATCCTGTTCAGCAACTAATTCATCTGCCTCCACCTTCGATAGGTCTCCACCCTTCTGTATCCACTTCCTTTTGCGTTGTTTGCGCTCAGATGCAGCCTTATTTGCCTTCTCAAGACGTGCGACCTGACCTGCTAGCAACGCCTATGAATGCACCATCATCTGGGCGCTTTTCTTCAGCTGGTCTAGCATTTCAATAATAGAAGCTGGCGAGGAGCTCTTGTGCTGCCGAATCCAATCGCGAATAAGCGTTGATTGAGCCTCTATCTCACGGGCGTTGCTTGGTGTTTTAGGGTTCCATTTAGCAGCCGTTGGTGTAGGAGGTGTAGGCGTGCGAGGCTTCACTTCAAGCTTAGATAACACAACATCTGGGTTGTGTGGGACTATACCAGTTACTTGGAAGCTTGACTGGATATTCTTCTTTGAAAACGAGCCGCTAAATACCTCCTTTAAGGAGGCTAGGAATGCCTTCTTTTCAATATAGTTGATGTAACTATTTGCCAAGCCTCTAATCTCTTTCCCATATGCCCGCTTTAATGGCGCAAAACACCCCACATTAAGTGGCTAAAGGATGTACGACGAGTGTGGAGGCATATAGAGGGTAATAATCTTGCTTTTCTTACAAAGATCCTAGAACGCAAGCGACTTGTGGCTCTCGTGGCCATTAATAATAAGTAGCCAATGGCTACCCACCGTATGGGCCTCTATATGCTTAATAAAGTACTACAACTAGACTAAACTAAGCTTATTTGTTATCTAGCCATTGTCGCTAACCCTAATACGCCAGTCTTTTGGTATGTCATAATACCAGGAGCTATCGTGGTTCTTAGCTTTAAAGATGAAGAAGGGTGGGATAGCCTAGCCCTTCGCGTTGACTCCTGCGATTAACGTAACCCACTCACAATTGCCAGGTTAAACGCCTATAGGCCGATTGCGTCTCTCTAAAGCAGTAACAACCTTTACGCTTCCTGCAACACCTATAGTGAAGCCAGTCTCGTTAAAGTTATAGGTATCTTCATCTAGAATACCATACTTCCTCTTTGTGTTCTATACAAGGTCAAACTAGGGGCTAATGACCGCTGGATCGCTGCATAGGACTCTCTGGCGATTACGCTATCGAGTTAATTGAGCTTTAAGCTCAGGCTTGCGATGGACGAGGTTGCTGGCCCATTTCTTGCCAACCTGGCCACCACCGCGTACAGCAAGCAGTTGGTTAGCCATTTCGCGCACATAACCTAGCGTAGGCGCAAATCCTCACGCATCTGGCTTTCTTATGTATTAAACAAGCGTGTTTTCTTCGTACTTCGTAAGCCTTGACGAATTGGCTTGAGAATCGCGTCGTGATGTCGTTCCGGCGCGTCGGTCATGGAGGGTGCTTCAACGAACGTTATAGATTGCTGCAGCGCGTCGCTCACTTAAGGACACGTCTTCTTTTATTGCTTGAATAGCTAGGATAACTCTATCCTCATAAGGGAGTATTTCTCTGTTGTGTTGTTGAGACATTGCAGCTGAAAGTAAAGAGTCGCGCAATTTTGGTGGGGTGGTCGGCTTGCCTGGCCGGCTCGCTTGCCTGGCCGGTTCGCTTGCCGTTCACGTTAATATGTATCAAAACAGAGAATTTGCTATGTCAGAAGGTTGTCTCCATGGGCTCGGGAACGAGAATGCACCGCGCTTTTCCCTCAACCAGTTGATACGAGCAAAGCCACTGTTAACCGAATCCCACTCTTTCACCATAAAACAGCTGCCTGAACCAAATGACGCGGGTGCGATGTTGCGCTGACCTCATCTGCAGACATGAAAGAACTGATAGTCCGCACGAAGTCAGCAGCAATAAAGGCCGAACACGTTCGCTCAGCAATTTACAACTGTACCAGCGGCAAGGTGGGTGCCCGCCATCGCTGAGGTGTGACCATGCGCAGAATGCTGATTTGATCGATATCTGTGCGTACTACTGTGTCTAGACATGCATGGCTCAGCACGCCCGGGCGTAGCGTATTCTCGCATCTTCCAATGTCCACGGACCAGACGATTCATCTTGCATCGTAACGCATATTTGGGGTTCCGTAGATAGATATGCTTTTGTTTCATTGAAGGGTGTCGAAACCTCAGAAATCAGACGCAAGTGTAGATGATAGCTCGTATCTCACATAATGTTGGTTGCGAATGTGGTGGACGGACTGCAATGCCACAGCGCCAAGAAATAGGGTCCAACACCAACCTCGGCTGTCCAGCTTCATCATCGCACCCCTCCAGCGTCTTCATTCTGGGACGCAATTTGCAAAATGCCAGACACTACACTGGGCCTTGATCTGGCCTCAAAAAAGTTGAGGAAACGGCAGGACTATCCGTATCGCCTGGATTACCGAACAAGATGGTAAGAACCCAGATCAATCGATTGTACGCGGGCGAACTTGTCTCACGTGACTATGGTCTCTCCTTGGATCGAACGCGTGTTGACAATCAAATGGCAGGGCCGACAACGACATGTTCCACCACCTCAACAACCCCATCTACGGCGTCCTAATTGACTCAATAATCAACGAATACCTCATGACGCGGGTGGGCTACAACACGACCACATACCCGCGCACGGCGCTCGTCGCCAACACATACTGTGACTACTTCGGGCAATTACAGTATCCAGGGATGCTCGAGCTGGGCCTGCGTGTTGTCAAGCTCGGGAAGAACAGCGTCATGTACGAGGTGGGCTTCTTTAAGGAAGGGGACGACGTGGTAAAGGCGGTAGGCGGATTTGTGCAGATATGGGTTATGAGGGATGGTGGAAAGGCGCCGAAAGAGGGGCTGGAGCCGGAAGTGCGGGAGAAGCTGGGGGAGCTGATGCAGCCGGGGTTGAGGGAGAGGAGTAGGCTTTAGAGGCTGGTGAGCAACGTCATGTTCAAGGTGATATTCGATGACTCGTATTTTCATCGTGTACACGTATAATGGTTTCTAGAATATATGCATCCATCTATAACAGATTGGCCTTCCCAAATGTAGAAATAGGGTATATCAAACGCTGACAACGTTGCGACCATAAGCGGCGTTAAGCCTATGCATCTTAATCAAATGACCACCCATTCTATGTTTTACTGCGCAACCTGAGGAAATGTTACTTGCGATTCGTAGTCGTACAATCTGCGGGGTTGTCAGTGCCTACTTCAGTGCACATTAGAGGATGACTTACATGAAAGTCTCGTATCGCACGCCTCTTTTCTGCTGTCTCGCCTTGTTCTGCCCGTCTGCCACCGTTTCATATAAGGAAGGCTCGAAGCTAATCTCTTTCCACGCTTGTACCAATGCACGCCAGTAGCAAGCCTCGGCGGCACCTGTCAGGTATCTTTCGCGGAAGGTCTTCACGTTGTTGTCGGCGATGCGCTTTGCCTTCTCGGGATGCGCCAAGAGGTCATCCATGGTGGAGGACAGATCGGAAAAGTCGCGCTCGACTTCGACGTAGTTCTGCTTGGCGCCTGAGGCGAGGAGCAGGTAGTGGTAGTGCTGGATCCACTGCAGCTTGTGCGAGACGATGACGGAGCGGCAGAGCTGGCGGTATTTGAGGGCGCCGGAATAGGAGCGTCCTGCATCTGTCAGTCCTTGTATCCCAATCTGGGTCTAGGGACATCGTACCCTCGGCGTGCGCAATGAACATGTAGCTGCACTGGTCCACGGGTCCCAAGAAGTGTGCGCCGGGCTCCTTGAACTCGGTATCCTCCCACTTCACCTGGCCAACATCGCTCCAGGACTTGCCCTTGGCAGCCTCGACCAGCGCCCTGCGCAGCTTCGGGGCAAAGTTCAGCTTGCCGCGCCATACGAGTTTCTCCTTCTTCGCGTCCCACGGCTCAAGGCGTTCGCGCTGCATGGCCTCGTCAGCGACCTCGTCGAAGGCGCCGAGCGCAGGCATGTCCCAGCTCCACCAGCCAAAGTCGGGAATCAGCCACAGGTCCTCGTCCTGTGCACGGCGCGCGAGCATCCACAGGGGCTTTTCGGGCTGCGCGGGCAAGTCTTCGACGCTGAGGACGAATTCGATGTTGGCAATGGCGGGGCGGTCGCGGGCAGCCGAGATGGCGCGGTGCAGGGCGGCGAGCGAGGCGACTGCCTTTTGGCGATTGATGTTGTCAACGAGACATGTCTGCAGGATGTAGAGCTATCGCATGTGCGTCAGCGAGGGATTGTGCGGGCGCTCTCTGGCAAGCGTACCTGGCCGTCGTGGATCATGGCGCGCACCATGCCCTTGGTGAGCTCGAAATCCGTCAGGTTCTTCTGTGTCACCAGGCCTCTGCCCTTCCTGAAGTTCTTGGCCCGCTCAATGTCCTCGAACAGGCCGGGGAACGCCGCTGCGCACTGGTCCTCGTCCAGCCCGTAGTTGCTGCCGTCGCGGCGGAAGTCAAACTCCCATGTTTCCAGGGCGTGTGTGGCATTGGCAACGATTGCTGGACGCGCGGCGCAGTCCAGGCAAGACTCGCAGTTGAACGTGGTCGACTGCTGGCAGAGGCAGCGGCCGGCGGGGAGCACCTCCTGCACCGCTTGCGGGAGGGAGGGGTTCTCGGTGCGCGTGCCGTACAGGATGCTGCATATGAGGAAGAAGACGAGCGCGATGCCCGAGATGAAGAACCAGGCCAGGCAGTCCGAAGCGCCGCATCGCCGTCTGAGAATCATGTTCGAGAAGACCTACAACAATGGCATAGGTGAAGATGCACATGCGCGAGGACAAATGGCACAACCGGAGGGCGAACCGGAGCCAAACGGCGTCTCCAAGGCGGCGATTAGTACCAGGTGCTGTACGCAGGCGGTAGTAACAACATGAGGTCCGAGGCTGCTCAAGATGCGCTGCAGGAAGGCCGTCGCAGCGGCTTGTCAGGAGTTGGAGCCATGTTGCAAGTGTCGGATCGCCCTGAGTCTCCGCGCGGCCAGCCACAGAGCCGCGACGTGGTGGAGCTGCGGAAAAGGAGTCGCTAGTGGGCCTGTCCCGGCTGGACTGTCGGCGCGCTACCTCTGACTAGCTCTTTAGTGTCCATCTTTACATCCACCACCCGTCCACTGGCAGACCAAAGAGAATGGGTGAGGTCAGGAACCTGAGCAAGTCTTGGCTGTCGTGAGCTGGGGAACAGAATCCTTCCATGTAGGCCAGCAAGCGAAAGGAAGACATGGGTGCCTCGGGCCGCTGGCGCATCCTGCAGGCAGGTGGGGCAGTGTCGCTCCTTCTCCAGGCACACGACTAAATGCCCGTCGTGCCACGCCTTCTCTTGCTCCCACTTGCAGTCATCTCCACTTCAGCCATGCTTTCCATGCTCGATGGTCGGTGGAACGAACGAGTCAGAATCAGCAAACGAACAAAGATGATCACGGGAACGAGGAGGTGAGAAGACTGTGAGGCATGGATGTTATTGCATCATTCGAAAAGACCTCTGTGCGCGGTTGGCGAGAACACGAGGATCTAGTCCTCCCGAATATTGCTGCACATGTGAACGAGCGACGACTACGAATTGATTCTCCAGACCTGCGAGTGCCAGCCTGACCTGCCGAAGATCGTCTTCACCAAGATCAGGCTCAGGTAGCTGCAGCCGAGGGACGGGCGGAGCAAGAAGACAACCATCATGGTCGCCACGCAGCGCTCCAGCTTGTGCGACCAGTGCCTGGCTGCGATTCAGCAACGCAAGCAATCCCTCTGCGACTTCAATGGGACTAGCGTGTGGGCCGGCATGCGAGCCAGAGAGGAATGCATCTCTCGTGGCCCGGAGGGATAGCTGCCGTCGCTCGTCACGCGACAGGGCGCCGCATTTAGATCGCGACTTGAGGAAGTTGATACGCCCGAATAGAACAGTCAGATCGGAATCGATCTCTCTAGGGGTACAATGGTGAAAGCTCAACGCCCAAACAGTGAGAAGGCGTTGGAGCGGCGTAGCTTCCGGTCCGGTCTCTGGCCAAGAGAGAATTTCTTGGGCCACCGCTCGAATGATGGCCGATGCAGCATGCCGATAGTCGAACACAAATTGCCTCGTTGATTAATGCCTGAAGAGAACCAACTGGTCAGGCACTCTCGATGGAAGTAGCAGCATCTACCATCGTGGTCAATCTGAACCACTCCGTCCTCGCGGTTGTCCAAGCAGATCGTGCACTGGAACTCGCCGGGAGCCCCACAATCACGCACCTCGTTCTCAATGAATTCCGATTAGGTGGGGAGAGCCATCCTCAACGTAATCGTGGGGATGACGAGATTCGAGTTTCGAAATGCAAAAGACTCCTTTGCTCTACAAAGGCTGTTTTCTCGTTCGCTGGTCCTTGTGTGAATTCCTTTACCGCAGAGGAAGCATGTATATACTGTTATCATCCCACGAGCCTGAAGTGTCGTTGTGAAGGCATCGTGATGGATTTCCTAGCACGCGCTTTAGCATTGCCTTTGTTGTAGGTTAGTGAGCATTGTGTGCAGCAGTACAGCGAAGACTTAGTTGGGCAGAGCGCTGTAAGATCCCAATGTGTGACGTCGTGACTATGAATTTCAGGGGTTTGAAGGTGAAAAGCTCGTAACTTTACACTGGCCAAATGTTCTCTTCACTTACCATTATACTCTCTCCATACCCCACAAGAACATCAATCATGCCGTGACACTCCGCTGTGTAGACACCCAAATGTATCACTAGCTCCAACCTCAACCATGCCTAGGGCTACAGCTGACTATCCGACTCGCGAAGACTTCATCTGGCTTGGTGTAGAGCAACTCTCCGAGGTTCCTGAGGACCGCGAAAATAGCTGTCCCATCTGCATGATGCCACTCGTTCCGCATGACTCGCCTACGACTGAGGATGGCCATGAATTTGCCCCTGTCCAGGACGATCAGGATCTACAGGGCAGTGAGTCCTCATTCACTGCGAATATCACGGACACTCATTCTGACTTGGGCATCATTACCATGGGTACAGTTCATGCCGCCGGTACGACTGTGTTCAACATTGCAGAGCAGGATACCTTGAACTCCCTCGTCACCCATTGGCGGGTTGTCTTCAGCGTTGGGAGGCACAATCTCAACTTCGACGACACGGAGGAGCTCGGCGACACGGATGAGCCCGAGGAGGGCCTCTTTATCCGGATCCGTATCTGTCGCCACATCTTCCACACCGCGTGCCTCCGCAAGTGGCTGAGCAAGCCTATGAACAAAACCTGTCCATTGTGCCGCCGTTTACTCTTCGCAGCTCCGTGTCGACACACCAATCTGCTCCAAGATCTTGCTGCGCTAGAGCAGCACGTTCAACATGGACGTAGGCAATCTGTCGAAATCACGCGACTTAAGGAGGAGATTACGACGCTGAAGAAGACCATCAAGAACATGGAGAAGGGCTACGTGGATTTCCTGTCCGATTGTGCGACTATGGTCTTCGTGGCGGCGATGATCATGGTGGCTCTCTATGGAATGTTGAAGTCTTGAGCTTTGGCTCATGTTGCTGGAGAGCATGTTCTAGTTTAACAAAGCGTACACTTTGATTTGATGGAAGCTTATGTCCGTTGAGATACTATACCTTTTCAGGGTCTCGAAATCAACTAGGTTCGGCCAAAAGACTTCGCAGTCATTGGTTGGATCGCCTGTACGTAGGGAATCGATACTTTTAGCTACGTGGTAGACTGGCAGTAATAATTCCCCGGTGTAACGGACATTGCGATCAGATTGTCTGAAAGCATTGTCGATACCATAACATAGGTACATACATCAATTCACGCAGGTAGTAAGAAATTAACCGCCATAAAAAGAGGCCTAGTGATTGAGCTGCTTTCGATTGTACCTGGACTCCCTAAAATAGTGTTCTTGGAGATCCTTGGGATTTGGTGCTATTTTTCGTGCGTGACTAGGTTGCAAAGCTATCATAATATTCAATCATTACTCTACCTATTCTCGATATTCTTGTAAGCCGGAAGGGTCAATGACACACTACACCCAGAATAGGTCGGCTGCTAACAAGAGATGAATATAGAGCATGTTGGCGGGGTTGTGATCGGCCGTGCTCAGCTACACCACGTATCGATCTCATCGCCAGCAGTGAGCTGTGTTATCTGTCACCCTTGTAACACGGGAAAGTACACATTTCTCGAGCTTTAACGTACGCAACAGATTAGCCGCAATAATTATACGCAAACGATATATCGCACGAAGATACTGTGGTTATCCACGATGTCACGGTGTTCTTCATGCGGAGAACAGTTTGGACACCCGACAAAAAGTTGGGTTCAGACACTTCTATTGATGCAACTAGGACACGCTATCGCCGACTCAGAAAAGACATTCTAGCGTCAGCACACGCTGGGTGCCACCTGTGTTCCTTGTATGGAGCAATTTAACTAAATTACTTCGCCGCAAGGTTGGGAACGTTGAGAGTGCTATTATCTGCCTCATCCTTTGGCGGGGAAAAATGAGGACTAATATAACGGGTTGGACTATTGGGCAATTGTGGATGGTTCTGTGCACCCTGACCTTTTAATCATTGACTGGGATCTTAAGCAAGTAAGTCAATCCCAATCTGATCAGAGCGCATGTACTGAGGCGCAAAACCAAACATCCCCAGGCATGTTAAAGCTCCAGCTAAACTTATGCACTCGGATCCAGTGTCTGATCAGTGCCACTTTCTTGCCATACGCTGGTTTCTCGACTGTGTCAGTACTCATGAAGACTGCCGCGCTCGGAACCAGAGATCTTGGCTGCCAACACGTTTGATCGATGTCGGCCATAACTGGCCTGCCGTGGAGTCTAGACTAGTGGTAATTTCGACCTGTCTAAACAGATATCTCCACCCCTCTATACCTCCATCAGCCATGTCTGGGCGGCCAAGACGGTACTTGGCCTAACAACGTAGAACAAAAAATAGTTGATGCGGGCTATATCGATGAAAGATCTCTCTTACGTTTTGAGATACTATCATGCTCACACGTCGACTGGGTATTAGCTTCCTCTGGATTGTTTCTCTCTACATTCTGCGAGGCTCACCCGAAGATTGGATGGCAGAGTCTTCTGTCATGAAACGAGTCAACAGAGACTCGGTATGCAAAATCACTCTCCTGATTTGTATAAATGCCGCGACCCACGCATGATGACACAGTACAGTACACGCATCCAGTGGAGAGTACACAAACGTCACTATGTCTACTCTATGGAGGAAGATACATACCACCTTGCTAGATCCAGGGCTGATTACCATCGCCGGGAAGGGTTTTTTTAAGAACAAATTCTGAGCTCTCCCACGTGACATTTCTCACCGCAGCTATTCTGGGAGTGCCGCACGTTACATGCGTGCGAAACATATCCTACAGGGTTCCCTCGGATGCCCACCAGTGCCGGTATGGATTCTGACACACCATGGTCTAACTGCAAATTCTGGACCAATGAATTACAAATGGAGATGCCATCAATTTGGCAATCGCTTTTTTAGACTTACTGTACAAGTCACATCACTCAACAGAGTGATAGACTTGCGGCGCTTGCAGGCCTAGCCCAAGAGATTCATACACCAACGATGAGTACCTGGCGGGCTGGTGGAACGAGGAACTTCCATGCGCTCTGTGCCGGATGATTTATGGCACTCTACATAGTGACAACATCACGATGACGAACGAGTATCGCTGCAAGTCTCTATCTGGGGTCCCAGCCCATGGACGTTCATTGATCACATAGGTCCATCTTGGTCGTGGGCATATCCAGACTTATCGGCAGATCATGACTTAAAGGTTTTGAATGGCGCAATGACTCACCGCTACATCTCCACTGTCCTCGACGTGAACATTCAACTTTCTTCAGGAAACGTTTACAGTAACACCACTGGTAGCTGTGTTTTGTCTACAGGGAGAATCGGGAGAAATCAGATTGGATCCATTGCAGGATGATGACTGGAGGGTAACAGAGGTGGACATTTCACTTACGAGTTCGCCCTTGATGTAGGAGGACTTGGCCACAAGGACATGGAGGGCTACCGAGACCCAGGCTCGGTCATTGCATGTCAATTGCGATTTATGAACGAGAAAACCCTGAGAATCCTGCAAGTATTCAAGTCCACTGTATCGTACTTGGGCGCGTTGAGGATGAGCCCCGTAATTTCACTAGCGTCGGCTGGATGACTGTCTTGGTAGATTGGGAGGAAGAGGTGCATGCAGAGCCGAGATGGACAGTGGATTAGCGGTAATACTACGAGGCTGAGCAGTGGTCGACTGGGTGACGGTTGAGTTCATAGTTTGAGCAGTGGAGCCAGTGATGGAAGTCCCACCCATCTCAGGTCGGGAGGCTGCACTCGTGGCTGAGGCGGTAGATTTTCCAGTGGAAGGAGAGTCTGCTATCAAACCGTCAGGGTGAAGATGTTCGAAACAATAACGAAACTCTTTATGCTGCGGGTTAGAAAAAGTCACGTGAAGGATATGTTGGCGCAGTAGTTGCAGGTGGCGGCTGTACTGCTGACATGATGTCTGTCAGTTCTTGTGTGGAATATCAAGCCTTAACGCAGGGTTGTGCTACTTCTTTTTGATGTGCAAAGTCTGCCGGTGTGGTACGACGGAAGTTTCGTAATTGAATGCAGAGGCGGTCGGCTCTACATAGCTAAAGGAAAGTTTGTGATATTGTGGATTGCTTTTTGGACTAGTGACTGGATGTAAGCCTAATCACTAAGTGCACCTTTGACATTTAACATTTGTATTTGTGCTCCTCGTAAGCATATATGAGCGTACTGCAAGCTGCGAGACGATGAAATGTAATGTTTTCACTGATTTCCTCGTTCAATAAAAGAATGACTGGGAAACGCAAGTAGAGAATGTGCCATTACCATCCTTCCCCAAAGCATTTTGCAGACCAAACCAATACTCTTACACGCCTGATAGTATGTACAACGAACGCTGGTGTCGTTCGCGAGTTGAGTCACATCGTCGATCCGTCCATCTCTTTGTCTTCTTGCTTATTTGCCACCCCGCAAGTTCTTCAGCTCCTCCGTCTTCTCCCTTACGAGATCGGTCAGACTGTCGCCCTCTCTCCGCACGCCCTTGGCCAGTCTCTCCTTCCAGGCCTTTTCTTCCTCGTCGCGCATCTCGAGCTCCTTCAACCAGCGCTCCCTCTTCTCCATCCTGGTCTTCTCCGCCTTGAGCTTCTCGTAGTCCTTGCGCTTGGCGCGGTCCTTTTGCCAATAGGCGTTTCCTGCGACCAGCACGGCGATGGTGAAGGCCTGGGCGTACAGACGTCGGCGGAAGAACAAGTTGGTCATTTTGTGGTCGCCTTTGCGCATGGACCGGGTGGCGCCGACGATGGCCCATACGGTGAGGGCGCAGCCGAAGGGGACGAGGGGTTCCTCGCGGAGGCGGCGCCAAATCTTGTCGAGGCGGTTCTCATTGTAAAAGTCTCTGTTGGGAATTAAGGTCAAAATGTAGCATGCTGAGGACGCCGTGCAACATACTCGTTCTCGTCAAAGGACGAGGGCAGCGGGGCGCTGTTTGGGCCCGGCAGCGGCGGTCCTGACATGGTGGTGCGGAGGTGGCGGAGGTGTCGCGTGGGCTGGGTGCGGTGGGTAGGAAGCTGTGGTCCCGTTTCACAGGGTGCACATGCGGAATTGGGCTTGTCTAGACCCTCTGAGCCAAGCTGCGCTTTCTGGAGGAGCTTGAGCGTGTGTCGTTGGACGTCGGCCGCGATGGTGGAGCTGCATAGATGGATTATCTCACCACTCTCGGCGCGTCGGCACTGACGTTGTTCCTACCGCCGACGCGCTTCCCTCCAGGCACGCCCTCAACCTCGCCTTAATCCCGAGATACACGCCGACAACGCCTCTTCGTCGCGCCTTGATGACCGGACCAGCTGCGCATCCTCTAGCCTCGCCGCGCAATGAACGATGAGGCCGAGTCCTCGCGAGCGGGCCAGCGCCGCCGCAGCATTGCCGACCCAGATACGGACAACGACGACGGCATAGCAGACATTGACCTCGACGAGGACATTGCCCAGCGAGAGCAGCGCATGAAGGAGAGACGGCTAGATGCTAAGCGGAAGCGGGTTGTGTTTCTCGACCATCTGCTCCGCGAGCTAGATACGCTCGTGTTCCTGGAGCTTATCACGCTCTACCATCTGGAGTACACATGCCTAGAACCTCGCGTGTACCTCCGCATGCTGACCTGTGTAGCTGCTCGTTCTTCTGGTTCGCTGTTCGCGCCATAATCCACGGCTCTTTGCTCACCCCGCTTCCCGACATTGGCCTGCACCGCCAGCATGATGAGCATAAACCATGGTTACCTCTGATCCTCTTCTGCTTCGCCATCAACTTCCTGTTGCACACAACATACCCCGCCCCGTCCGCCGGCGAGGATACGCGCGGCTATCTGCATGGCGGGCTGATGATCGACTTCATCGGACAGCTCGGGCCAACTAGCAAATGGAAGCTTGCAGGTTTGGACACCTGCATCCTATTTCTGCAGCTCGTTATGGTTTCTGTGCACGTGAAGCGGCGGCAAGCCAAGAAGACCCTCGCGCAAACATCCGCAGGGAGCACAGAGACCAGTGCGAACGATGAGGAAAGCACGGAGCAACCTCCCGAGGACACTGCTGCGCGCGAGCAAGATGCCGACGCGGAAGAGCGTGGTGTTTTGCGCCGCACTGATACCTTGTCTGATATCGGCATAGACCCGGATGAGGAAGACGCGCTCTTGTCGTCCTCGGAAGGAGTTCAGACAGATGCGCTTGATGTACTCATCTCTGGCCAGTGCATCATTGGCGAGTTCTCCCTCATCGACACGCTTCTCGATGAGCACCAGAAATACCAAGCTTTCCGTCAGACGCGGAGCGAGGGAGGAGCTGCATCCTCGCTGTCGCCTACTGCTCTTCGCCAGTTACAGAACATTCGCATGCGGTTCGGTGTTGGGGGTGGGTGAAAGTACGCTGTCGTATACGCCACGTGCATCCATTCAGCCACTCTGTGCGGACCTTGAAGACCCAGATTTGGAGCATTCAATGCGGAACGTCGGGTCAGCCACGGGTCCCCGCGAATGTTGTCCCCCCTCCAGAAACAGCCACACTGGGTCACGCTGGGTCACGCCTCATTGCTGGCCTTGAAATGCTACAAAAGAACAGCCACTGGAGTCTACTATCCCTTTACGGAATGGTGAATTCCCACCGCCCAACACCCTTTGAACCTTCTCGCCGTCACAGCTGTAGCACACTCGCTTCGTGGAAGCTGTGGCACGACCACGCGCCTTCGCAATCGGAAAATATGCCTTAGGCCCGAGGTTACACGCGGCAGCCTTGCAGGGCTTCGCGAAATACACACCATCTCCAGCCCGCAGGAACCTTGGAGCGGTGCGCTCCGAGCCGCGCGCGGTCCAGGCTGACTTTCGCCATGTGCTCCACGTCTGTGTAGCCTCGCGAGACGGTCCGCTACCGGCGCCAATCTCCACATGATAGATTGCTGGCGCCTGCTGTGCACATGTGAATTCAAGCACTTTGGCGCGCGAGGCGTGCGTGGTGGAACATCGATAGCAATATACCCGTCGCGCATTGGCTGCGCACCCTTAAATGCAAACGTGGCGCCCGCCGTTGTCTATCACGGCCGTGCCGCTATCGGTGCAGAATATGCCGTTCGCTTGAGATTAACCGTTACACGTGCTGGGAGGGAGAAACAAACAAATACTTCATCGTTCGGACTCGTGGTACCCTGAGCCTAGGCTATTTTTAGCAAGACGTGGGAGGCATGGATCCGCACGTATAGCACATTATATCTCACAGAACTATAATCCTGCACGGAAGGGCTGCGTGCGAAAGGGGAAAAGTGTCAGCGAGTGCCTGTGCAGCATAATAACAGCCAACCGCTGCCCACGCCGTGCGCAGTGCAGTGCTGAATTTTCTGATTGGCAGATGCGCGCGCATTGTTGGATCTTCGGCAACGAGGGAACGTCCCGCTCACATGACTGAGAAGAGCTGCAGCGCATCACATCCAGCCAGCTGACATGCGTTGCATCGTGCTGTGCGTTGGCGGGGTGGCGTGCCTTGATGCCCAAGCTTTTGTTCCGGGCATGGGTGGCCGTGGACTGTTCGGATCGGCGCGCATCCTGGGTGGTTGCATATGGATGGTGTTGGGCGGACGTCTGGGGCCAGTTCCGCAGGTGAGACGATTCCTTTGCGTCAAGCGAAGCTGCATGGCCTGCTTTAGGAGATCTGAATCGCGCTTGTCGGGTGCTGCAGCACTCGATTCATTGCCTGTGGCCATAATAATGAGGCTGCAGCCAGGTGCTTGCACGTACTCGCCAATCTGCCGTTGCGCCCACGGCCCAATAGCGCCCCCGCGAAGCACACGGCGAGCGGAATCCGCAGTCGCAAATTGCATTGAAATTACCGGCCAGCCACGCTCTCGCGCAAGCAATCAAGCAGCCCGTGTTTTCATTCGCGAACGGCTGGTCCGAAGCCGCCTAGCTGCCGTACGACCATCGGCACGGGAGGGCACGCAAGCAAGACGCAAGGTCCCCAATCTGACGCCGACCCGCGTGTTCCCCATCACATGCATAAGCGCCAACTCGACCCTGCTACCTGCACCAGATTCCTTGTCGCCGCCTCGAGTCCTTGTGCAACGTCATCCAGGGCTCGAGTCCGTCTCCAGGGATCTGCTTGCGTCGCGCTGCGCTGGCCGTGCAGCTCCATTTACAATGGGGAGCTAGAGCCGATGCCGTGTTACATTTGAACCGCGCGGTGCTGCTTGCCGGGGGGTGGGGGTCTTGCAGCGGCCATGGGCGAGCCGGAAGAGGAAGGCTGGCGGGGTGGAGGGGGATGTCCCAGGCACGGCATTCGCTCGGTGAATGCGTCGCGCAGATGGAGAAAGGCGCAACAATATGGCAGCGTGTTATCCTGCTGTCAGCATATGCGCCGCTAGAGACAGAGGGCCTGTCAGGCGGATAATCCTCGTGCGCGTGGCCATGCCCTCGACGAAAAGGCGGTAAAGTCGACACACACGTGTCGTGGTAGCACCGTGGGACACGGTGCGGTGAAATGATTGCACTAGACCTGTGGCTGTCGGAACGGACATGCATACGTCGGACTATAGCAGCTAGATGGCTATCGCGAGTAGACAAATGCCTGCCTGCGTCTTTACAGGTTCGGCCCGAGAGCGGTCGCCGTCCTGCAGGCTCGCAAGGAATAGTTTGACATATTATAGCTGGACGCCGAGTCAACAATACAGTCAGTCGTCCACAAGCAGGTAAGACAAGACGTTTCTATCCAGATCCAAGGGCGCGGCACGAGTAATGGGGTGCGGGGATTCTCAAAGAGTCTTGGAGACTCTTCCCTTCACCCGCAGATGGCTCTGGTCCGACGCTGTAGCAGTCGCGTGACGGCACATGGACATGTCAAATCTTCTGGGCCTGATCTGTTTCGGTCGCACATGCTTGCATCTTGGGGCTCTTGATGTCCGTTTAGGGACCGTAGCTATCCATGGGGAGGATCCGTATGGCGGTAAGCGTGAACGGTGAAAATCGGGCTCAATACCCCGGACTATGGGCTAACTCACGGCGCCTTTTCCGCCGACGTATAGAATAGCGGTGTGGCTAGGTGCTGCGGGGAAGCGGTATTGCTACCGGCGCATGCGCGTTCGTTGCACCCTTTCTCCAGGTGAAAAACCAAAAGGGTATATGAAGAAAGTGTTGGGTCCAAGTCGTGTTGCGTTGTTGACGGGGAAGCACAGCCGACTTTGGCCTACTCGGCGTGCCACGCGGGGCACCCACAAACCTGGAATGCCAGTGCACAGGATCGCCTAATCTATCCTTTCCTTGGGACAACGTCTGCATGGATTCCGCTGGAGAGCAAGGGCTTGTTTCGGGCTCATTTCGCAACAACGATCTGTCGGATGTTGTCTAATATACCGGCATCATGGGCGTGACATCCTGCTCGGTCTCATTCGTAAACACTAACACCAGAATTTACGGGGGAGCTGATGGTCGCTCCGGCCGGGATACCGTCGTCTGTCCAGCACCGTTTTGACTTCCCGCCGCGTTGAACCATCTCTCACGCTAGATGTGAATGTAAAGGGAATCTCCCTGCCTCAATCGGTCCTTTTGAAACGGACACTTGGGCCGCCAGGCGCAGATCAGATCAGCAATCCATAAAGGTTCTCATTACTCTGCGTTGGTGCTTAAGTCGTGAGTACGAGCATTATGCGATAGAGCCTTCAAAATCTTTTGCAGCGCTGGTCCCGACTTTGACAACAGCTGTTGTTCGACGCTGTACTGGGTATTCGGCACACTTGCGAGTCGAAGTCCGTGCCAACATGCGCGTGTCTGCCAACGTTAACTGACCCAGCGGCCCGCACCGGACACAGCTCCGGAAGCTCAAACCCACGCGAACTCTCGATTTAGTGCCAGGGAGCGACACGTTCGCGAAACCTTAAAATTACAGTCGTCGCGGGAGTACAATTCCGTGCGGCTGGCGCAAATGGCGAATAGGTGATGCGCAGACGCCTCGCGATCGTAGTCGCTACAACGCGAGAGTTCGGATCGAACTGCCATCCTAATGATTCGAGAGTATGGAGGGTCTAGAAGAGATGGGCAGGAGCGGCAAAAATGGAATTGCACAATTCAGTTCTACGCTGCATAAAGAATGTGTCATTTTTCAAAAGGGACTCTAAAGCGAACGGACGGTCTGAATTCATGACATATTTGACTGAGTATCCCTGACGATCATGAATAGCCTACGCAGATTATGGCATGCATCAGGGGAATAAAGAGCTGCAAAACATACCTAGTTGGCAACTGAAACCCCAGTCATTATTGATCAACGAGGTATCAATACTATGTGAGTGCGCACATCGTACGATGTTGATCGATCGGCTAGCTCCTTTATTGAAGACGCCGTCCCCCGAAACAGCGTCCAGGTAACCCAAACGGAGTGCTGTGACAACCAATATGGATTTGCCAGTAGCAGTATGGATTCCAAGCGCTTGCCCGGATTTTAAACCCCAGTCTCGGACTGAAGAATCTGCCATTCTACGAAGCCTCTCCCCGAGTCTTGTTTCGTGAGTCGATCAATCTAGCAACCGTTTAGTGCAGGATCGCGAAAAAGGTGGCTCGCTGACTTGCGGATGCGAAAGCGATACCGTGCCGCGCCCTCGGGATTTACCTAAACCCTGCACACGTACTACACCAATGTCCGAAACCCAGTTGCGTTGTATTTTAAAGGCCCAAATTCACTTCTCTCGGAAGTGGAGGAGCGGTACAACGGGAAGATACGATCATGCTGTGCTTTGACTTTCAGCTGCAGATCTGGTGCAACCCGCCGTTCGGGTTAAGATCGCAACCGTTAGGTTGGGTAGGCAAAGCGCCTGAGGCTGTGCTAAAATAGTGGTTCGTATCAGAAAAATGAGTGATGGCTAGGACGTAGCATGCGGCCGAAACGCTTGGTTGCTTGCTTTTGGCTCTGGTAGCCAGCAAAGCAGATATTATTCGCTTGTGATACTTTTGTGCGTGCTGATGACGCTCGACTCAGCTATGCTAGATTACATGGCAACTGAAGAAGTTATGCTGCTAAAGACAGTCTGGTAAACATTGACAGGTTCCGTGAGGAAATGGACTCTAATGGAAGAGCTCTATATGATGTAAAAGATGGATGATGATGATGATGATGGCGCCGTCAGAGACATTGGCCAGACAAGTAGAGAATGTACAGTACTTGCAGGCCTGTGTCAGACAACGGCAAAAGGAAACCAAGACAAAATCGAGCCACCCGGTGCGTTGCTAAAGATGCAAAAGCCACTTTTCGTGAACTTTGGGTATCAGAACTTCGAAAGAAAAAGTGAACGCAAGACTGCATGTCCCCATACGATGGTCAAGCCAGTGTGCCAGGGCCCATCATCTGCTCTCCCGTAACTGGCCAGGGGCCGGTGCCCAATTCCTTTGCTCGTAGCGAGCTGGGTCAGAAGCGAACGGATCATGCAATTGCGCTTGCTGGGTTGAATAGTGATGATGTGGTTGTGGTTGCCTATGAGACGACATACCGGCGGCTGTGGCGTTCACTGAAGAAAACGTAGCGGCAGGATGAGTTGAAGACGGGGGCCCGGTGCCGTTCAATGGTGCAGCTGTCTGTCCTAGCGGAGGATGGTACGTACTAGTTCTCCTTCGCACGTTCCTGTCTGACTCTACATCGTCGTCATCGTATGCGGAATAAGGCGACCCTGCAGAGCCGCCGCCGGTATTAGATGATGCAGCATTTGAGTGAGAAACGGACGGCCGCCTCAATCGCGGTGACGTGGGTCGTCCATAATGTCGGTCCGCACCAGGCTGCTGGTAGACTAGGTTCTGGAAATAGTCTCGCTCGTTTCGATAGAATTCCCTATCTTCAAGAGCATCGCGCAACTGTTGTTCCAAGCGCGCAATGCTCATGGAGGCTTCGCGCTCCTTTTCCTTTCGACGTGCGCGAAATCGTGCCGAGGCGCCAGCGTTGCGCTTCCTCTTTTCGTCAGCAACCTTAGAAGCAGCTTGAACGTCAACAGGAATTTGTACATGATGTCCCTGCTGGCTTTTGATTGTCATAATCTGAATGCTACTCTGACCTGTCGGAGCCATGGATATCCGACCACGGTCCGTATCCACAGCCATAGGTATTTGGTGGGCTTCCTGCATTGGCGCATGACCCGGAGCGGGTACGTAGTGATGTTGGTGTTGGCTGCCAGCATCGACTTGGCTCGATGCGACAGAAGCTGGTTGGCTGTATGGAGAAAATCCTGCGATGGGACTGGCACTCCCGGATTGAGGAAAACCCATGCTCGGTCGTCGAAGGTCGTTGCGAACCATGGTTGGGGGCGGGGTTGGAGCAGTAGGGAAGTAGGCAGCGCGAGAACCAATCCCTACGACGGGGGGAGTGGGTAACGCTGGCTGCGATGTTATCGAATCCATGGCGGACGGTCGTCCGCTCGGTGAGATGAAGGGAGATTGATGAGCGTCAATGGTGCCTGTCGGAGGATTCAGAACACTTAGACTCTGGGTGCGATGTATGGTGGGGGACAGCGGACCCCTCCGTGGGTGAAAAGGCTGTTGGAACTGCCTAGCAGGCACCGTTTCGTCTTGAGTGGACTCAACACTGGTCGGACGGCTAATGGATGGTAGGTTGGGTGGGGTCAAGTGCTCGATAGGTGACGGGAGCTCCGCATGCGATGCACTCCGCCTTTGGCCTCGGTGTTGTTCGAGCAAGTCTGCCTGCGGATTCAGGATGGAATGCATTCCCAATGGACCTCCTGGCCTCCGTTCGCCCAGAGGTGGGGTGCTGGACATCTGGCGAAGCGGGGGCAGCGAAAGTGAAGCGCTGGATGATGCATCTCGAGGACTGTCCCGCTGCAGCGCATGTACGATCGGGTGGGGATGTGTTGGTGACACCTGGGGAGTAGTCTGAATAAGCCGCCGGGGCCCGTCTTCTCCGGTGTGTGCTTGGTGCGCTGCCCCCGTTGGCGTCGACATAGGGAGCTGTCCGTCAAAGCCCCGCTGGCCGCCCAGGGCCCACCATGAACGGTCTGCCTCGGGGATGTCGAGCCTGGGAGGAAGCACGGGACGGTCCAAATGTTGCTTTTCAGGTGTCCGGGCCGGTGTCAATGGACGTTGAAACGAGTGAGCGTAAGGACTGTGGGGTTTTGGAACAGCGGGGAGTGTTTGGGCAGCCAGATTGCACGAGGTGAAGTGTGTCGCCGCTGCGGACAACACAGTAGCTGGTATGGGGCAGCGGATGGGACTGGATGATTCGACCACAGGGTTCGAATGGAGGTAGAGCGGGCAACAGTAAGATCAGACGGCCATAGTACAGTTGGGGAAGCTGACAGCAGCGGAGTCGGAGGAGCAACGAAGAAGAAGGGATGTGGATGGAACTCGAGGCGGGTCCGCAAGGTGGTGTTGGGCGCAGGCGCAGCTCGTGTGAAGATGCGGTGAGTTGGGCTTGCACGCTGCAGTGGTGACGGGGAGCGAGCAAATCATGCTAATAAGAAGCACGGTGGGCATGCCCCTGTCTGGACCAGCTCCCCGCCAGGAAGCACACTGCAAGCACAAAAGTACAGTACATGGCGGACCCGGGCGCGCTAGGCAGAGGCGCTGGGCGGTGACAGCAGGGCGCCGGCCGGGGCATCCCAGGACGCGCTGGCACGGGACGCAGGCTACTGCACGGAGCGCCGCCCCTGCGCGGAACGCGGGAGGGGGCACGAGTGGGCTTTTTCTTCGAGCCCAAAGCGAGGCAAGCGCATGGTGCAACGGGACAGGGCGCCCGGTGCATTTTGCGCGTGATGGCGCCGGCCATTGGCCTTGTCGGCGCCGTCGCCGTCGCATGCCTGTCGCGTCGCGTCGCGTGCTCGAGGCCTGCGGGACGGCCGTCGGGCGCCAGCGCTGCCAGAGGAGGCCTCGCTCTCGTCGCCGAGTCGGGTCGAGTCGAGTCGCGTCGCGGGCCTGGGCGGTGGCCTGTCCCGCCGGAGGATATGTCCGCCAGATGCGCAGTCTGCACGCCATCATCTCGGCAGGCTCGCGCCAAGCTCTCTCGACGCCGCGAGGGCTTCCCCACCGCTGCCGGTAGCGTGCCAGCGAGCCGTGGACAGACGGGCGCAGGCGTGCAGCAGACAAAGAAGACGCGGCGCGGCGCTGTGGCGACCGTGGAGCGGTGCGTGACGGGCAGTGTGGGATGCATATGCGCTGCAGAGTGGTGGTGTTGGTGGTGGTGTTCCGCAGCGCGCCTTCCCCACGCGCGCCGTGGGGGTGGTTCCTTCCCCATACGTCTCGTCAGCGTTCGTCGTCCTGCCGTCCATCCAGCGCGCCATCCTCTCGCCATCGCCATCGCCATCGCCATCGCCCTCGCCTTCGGTGCGCCGTGCGGCCCTCAACCTCGCCCGCGCGCCTTTTCTTTTGCCTCCCGCACCGTCGCGCCTGCCCGGCCGCATGCAACTGTGGCTGCATCGCACAAGCTGCCAACCGTCGCGCCTGCCCATCCTGGCCGCATGGCCTGCGACATCATGTGCTGGGCCCTTCACCACCACACTGCACTTGCTCGTCCATGGCCAAGAGCCGCACGTGGAGCCTGGGCCCCAGCCCTGCACATCACTCTCGTGTGCGTCCTCGCATTGCTTTTTCTGACGCACTCGCATCCGCAATCGTCGTAGGCGACGCCAGGCTGCGCCGTCTGCTCTGCAACGGCACGCGCATCTGGATGCCGGCTGCATCGCGCCCGCGCACCACCACCGCGACAATCTTGCAGCAGCCAGCGTCCACGCCCGTCACCACCATGGCACGGCAACAGGCTCTCGCGACGCGGGACCATGGCCGCGCCCGTTGCACCAGGCGGGCATAGTGCGTCATAGCGTGGTCCAGCACCGTGGGCCGTCGCTGCATCTGGGATCGCCGGCTGGCCGTTTGGCAGTGATCGAAGCTTCGGCGCCAAAACTAGAAGCTGCTCCTCCACCAGTTTCTCCGGCTCCGCACAGTCGGGTCCGTCCGAGCTCGAGGGAATTTCAGGAGGCTTGCGTCCGTGCCTCGTCACGCGTGCGGCCAACTGTGTCCTTCAGCCGCGAGAAGCGTCTTTGCCATCCCAGCCTGCGGGGCTCCCCCAACCCGCAGGCTGCCCCAACCAAACAGGATTGCGTCTCCAAACGAGATGAGCATCCCTCCCCATTACTCAGCTGCTGTTGGCAAGGACTCGATGCAAGCTGCAGCCTTCCAATGCACGTGGGTGCATCGGCACTTATCCGAGCGGTGAGATACCGGGACGCCAACTTCAGATGCAAGCCTAAGCTCTTCAAGCGGATACGTACATTGTGCACGTGTCTGCGGAGCTGCTCGTCCCCGCTCCCTGAGCACCTCGCTCCGCCATCGACTGTGGGACGTGAATCACATGGTTCAAACGTCGCAGAACTGCACGCTATCAGGTCCCGCTTTGGAGCAACCAGGTACACCGGCGCACCACTCTGCGCACCACTCTGCGCCTTCTTCCACATTTAGACTCAACATCTCCGAACACGCAATCAGCCCGGCTGCTTCCTCACCGTTTGTCCAAGGGCTGACCACGCAAGTCATGTTCGAATGCAGTAAACATCCGCTAATTTTGCCTTGCGAGCCAGGATGCGCCCTGCACGTACACGTTGCTCCTGAGATGTGATATGTGCAGCAACGCATACTGTAGCAATGTACTTGCCATCTGCACAGCACACATCATCTTGCTTCATCATGCCCTCAACCCGGATACCAACGGGCCTAAAGATGACATGTGCGCGCAATTGCCTCGGTGCTCACGCCAAACAAATCGACGACAACTGTCATCCCAACGCGAACACATCCTGGCTAATACCGCAAATGCCGCGTTGCGGTTGGCTGGATTTTATTTCTGGGGGTCCAATAGTGTCGGAGATGGTTTCTCGAATGTCACACCAAGGCAATCACGATTTACCCGGTGACAAGACTTCGCGCTCACAGGATCGGCTCGCTCCTCACCTTGGCCCGTGCCAGGTTCGAACGACCGTAGAAGCTGCCAAGGATCTATGCTTCGAATCTTGTTCCTTTCATACGCCGCAACCTTTGTGATCGGACTTTGATGCTCACATTTTAGCCGAAACATGATCACATCGCATACTGGTACTACAACTCGTAACAATGCCGAAAGCTAGCCAAAGCCCGCAAGTGCCAAACATTCATCTCGGAGCAGTGCAGAGGACGTGATCCTCGCTCGGAAGACTTTAATTTGGGGACCAAACGGTCTCGGAGCTCGATTCGCATCAATATCTACTATAGCCTATAGGCAGCTATTCGCTCACAAGGGTTTCAACATGCATCCAAATCTGTCGCCAAATCATGACGCCCAGCGCTCCTTTAGCTGTCCGGTTATTTTCAGTGTCATCCTGCACGGTTTCGCAAGGCTGATGGAAATTGTTCGGGCATTTGGTCACCGGCTGGCCCCAAAGGGACATATTTGCACAGATCCGCAGTTAGACTGGGTTGAAGACTTTTGCGTGCAAAGCAGCGTCTCTGCACAATCCGACTGTGGGGTGGCCACCTCATTACCCACACATGCACTAACGTACATAATTCCTATGCTGGTGGTAGTCCCGCTGACGGACCGAGAGTACACATATCGAATCGTGGCACTCATGACACGGTGAAGCAGCGACAAGTGCAACGATTGGCGATAAGAAACATTGTCGGATCAATGATTTCAGTACAAGTAGATCCAAACGTGCCTACTCTTCTGGTGCTTGAGCATCAATAGATACCTCGGTACCGATGTGTGTAGGGCGCATATCAGAGTACACCTCTTTCAGAGGCGCATTTTGCGAATCGCAAGGCATGCAACCTGAAAAATCAGACGTAGCGTGCGAGGCTTGATACAAGTATGCGTCTGGTAATTACTTGCCCATTATACAACCACAACTAACTCCAGGAATCATGCATATTACGGCTTCTCGGTTGCCATGATGTCGCAACGCTGATGCAGCCAAGCTGGCGATGTTTGCGTCAAGTCTGCCGTGCCTGATGAGGCCTTATCAGAGGTATAATGCCCGAATTAGACAGCTACTGATACCCCGAAAGGCTTGTGTGCATACCGTCAGGGAGATATATTACCCCGTATTAAAGGCTCAATGCGCGTATGACGGCACCTACCACGTTAGCTCGCGCGTTGGTTCCCAACCTGCAGCCGGGGTCTTTGCAAGCACTACCCTGCAGACACTGACTCGATGAGGATCACAGCCACCGCAACGGCGTTTCTTTACGATGGACCTCTACCTTCTCCCACCGAGCCATCATAACGGCCGCTAATCAGCATCATTACCTTAGGGCCCCTACCTGACTTATAGTGTTGCAATTGCACAGTTGAGACAACATGGTCTCCAGAAGTTCTCGAGTTGAAGGGTCTTCTTGATTCGTGGATTTCTTCAATATCAACTCCCGGGTAAGTCAGTGCATTCCTCATTCAACGACCTCGGACTTTCCACCACCCCTGTTACTACGTCCTTTTTTCGCTTGGGTTCCATGCTTGCGCACCACGGGCGCAGATGACCCAAATGACAAGCATTGAGAACAGACCAGCTGCACACACAGCTCTTGCTTCATCCACGGAGATTGCCTCGCGGAGTGGTTTGGCTGGTGAAGGAAATCCTCCGCGTTGGATCCTCGCTCATCCGAAGCGCGGATCGAAAACAGATCCTACGTGCGTGTGCACTAGGCGTACGGCATGTGCAACCGACGTCGCTTCGATCGTCAGCAGTGGACCATGGCAAACGGCGCTCATCATCGCTTCGACCCCTGGGGCTAATCAGTGCGGCTACCTGCTGAGTTGCCACCGCGCCGTCTGGTTTAATAAAGAGGCCAAACGTAGCTCATGGCTGATAGCAGCGTTATGCACGATTGACGTGGCAGATCCACTATCCAGTTCCGAAATCAATTCGGCCACGCCGCAGTTTGCATACCATAGTCCTCACACCGATGAGGAAAGAAGATTTCCAGCACTGCGGAGGCATACAATGACTCGCCTGTCTGCCCGATCCATGGCCCTGGTAGTGCTCCGGCTCTGGAGGAATGTTCCACTTCTTCGGAAGGATAAGCCTAACAGCCCCGCCCGGGTCGCTTCACAAATCGTCTGGCTCTTCCGGAAGAACTTCAACGGGCGTGGGCGTTGTTGAATATTGCCCCAGGCAGGCGCTGCCGAGTACTGGGTCTCAGAATACTGATTTATCCTGCCCAGTCTATCTTTCACATGGCATGGTCGCACCTTGGTCGCCACTGCTGCACACAGCCCTTGCGGGGTGGAGATACTGTTTCAGGGCTATATGTGTTTTGAGATAATGGGAGGAATTTCCTTGATGAGCAGTGCTCTGAGTCCTAGCGGTGGTATAACTTCCATCGGGACGCTTGCAAGCGGAGATCTCCATGCTGACCGGACCACTTAACGGCTCGAACACATTGTGACGAAGGGGCTTGTACCATCTAGTGCCGCTCCTTGGACCACGTCGCGCTCAAGGAAGAGTGGACGGCGGGAACTTGGGCCCTGGACGAGGAAGAATACGGAGAGTACGGCCAAGGAGATGGGCGCGGAGCCTCGGATTCATCAAATGCATGCTCAGTCATGTAGTCTGCTCAGGGGTTGAGAAACGGAGACAGGTGTAGATTTTCGACGTTGAGCGTAACGCCAGTGCTGGGTATGGCAAGACTTTTCGCAAACGTTTATCCGGCATTCTATTTTCAACCCCATCCTCACTGTGTAGCATTTTATCAAATTGCCTGCTTGTGTAAAGACTGATTTGGGTTCCCGGGCGAAGCTCTACCAGTACATAGCAGCTATGTGGGAATCACCCCATGGCTTTCACCTTCTGGTGTGCACCGGTTGACATCGGGCCAGGAACAAGCCTTTGCGGACGTTTATGCAAGTGTAATACGTAGCTCCGAGTGTCGCCACGCCACAATCATCATGCTTCTGCAAGAGAGACGCGCGTCCAAAACCATGTGATTGGCTTTCATCATGGCGCTGTGCGCTGGCTGGCAGCTTTGTGCTGCAGTGCTATTGCGAGCTTGAAAACTCGAGTTGGTAATTCATGGGGTATGAACCCTGACATAAGACTGTGTTAGCGTGGGCGGCATACTCTTCAAAGGGGATGCTGACAAGACGCTGAGAATGGCATGTAGCATCGACAATGGCCGATAACAAGAATATGGAATCTCATGCATATGGGCGTCCGAGATGGGTTGTTAAGATATGAAATCATCGGTGTATTGTGTAGTAAATTACCACAGGAACAGGCTTGCGCCAATGTTCCAGATTCTTGTTTCATCCAATGAAATCAGTCAACACGCGATTAGGTACAGAATTCGATGTGAGTATATGGCTGAACTTGCTCTTCTTCAAACGCTGACCCTGTTCTTGAAGGCCGACGTTAGCTACGTTAGGCATGTTCTGTCCTCGTCGCCCTCGCCTTCTCCATACCTACCCCAGCATCCTCGCCGTTCTCGGGCAGTTCTGCAATAGCTTCGTGTGCAATCTTCTCTTTCTCCGCTTCCGACATGCCGTACCACCGCGAAGCAACATGCTGCTCGTCGCCGAACAGAGCGCCAATTTCTTCCAGGGTCCTTCCCTTCGTCTCTGGGAACCTATGACTTGAGATTAGCATTGGTGAAACAATTTCCGAGAGACACAGCTTACAAAAAGTATATGAGGACAATGTACACGACCGACGGACATATCAGTACGAGATAGAACCGCCACCCGATCTTCTCCAACGCGACTGGAGCCCCAACAAGCGTTATCTCGCTCGCGAGATAGAACGACGAGAGACCGAGAGCGACACCCTGTGGGCGAAGGTGGTTCGGGAAGATTTCTGCGACGTAGACGTATCTGCAAGCGTCAGTTGCCAATGTTTTCACCCATCAAGGCAGGGCGTGTACATACTGGGTAGCGTCGATGAAGAAGCACCACCAGAAGATGTAGAAGAAGATGAAGAACACGGCCGCCCGCAGTCCGGCTACATTGGTTGTTCCTAGGTATTTGGCTGTTAAGGCGCAGAGGAATATCACACTGCACGTATGGTCATAATGTCAGCACACATTGATGAGAGATTGGCTAATGTTTTCGGCAGCCACGTACCATGCGGTGCAGCCCGTTGAGCCGATCAACATGAACGTCCTACGTCCGAACCTATCGATGTAGAGCGCTGTCCAGAAATTTCCGATGATGGTGAAGGTCGTCCAGCAGGCATTGAGAAGCAAAGGGACGAAGCCAGTCAGACCAAGAGACGCGTAGATTAGCACACCGTAGCTACTAACAGTCAGCGAATCTCCTTGTCGTTGTCATCTCATCTCGTTTCAGTCCACTCACTTCGTCAATACAAAAATTCCAAGAAACTGATCCCCCCACATCAGAAGGAATCCCACCAGCGCGCGACGACGGTTCGCAGGCGTACGGAAGAGCTCGAAGCGACGGACTAGCATAGTCCTGTCGAGCTGATACTGCTTCTCGATGAGGAAGAACTCCTCGCGGGCGCGGACATGGTTTGGATCGCTGGAGGAAGCGTGGAGTTTCTTCACCACGTCCAAGGCCTCATTGCTGCGGTCTTGCTGCAGAAGCCATCGCGGCGAGAAAGGGATAAACTTCCAGCCACACAAGACCATGAGCGGAAAGAAGCATTGGAACGCGAGAGGAAACCGCCATGCAAACTGGGCATTGGGGGAGTCTGCCGGGATGAAGAAGCAGGCGAAGCCGAGCCAGCCAGCTAGAGTGTAGCCAAAGGCATACGCGATGCCCGTCACGCAAACCATCGCCCCTCTTGTTTCTGGCGTCGAGACCTCGGCTTGGTACATGGGCACCACACAAGCCAGCATGCCTGCGCCCCAGCCTGCAATGAACCTGCCGACGAGGAACATGGCTATGTCGTATGCGCCAGCGCACAGGGCGCCGCCTATGATGAGCACTACACAGCCGCCCATCATACTGTACTTCCTAGAGTACTTCTCGGAGGTCCACGCGTTGAAAAGGCAGCCAAAGATCGCACCTGCGCTATTCACACCGTTCAAGGCTCCAATCATGCTCGTAGTATGCGCATATCCTGTTATGTATATCAATGACCGCTTCTGACCATGAGCCGTGTGGAAGCATACCTGGTTCGCCTGCTGGCGCAAGTTTGAAGTAAGTATAGAAGTTCGGCTGTCCAACCGTCGACCCGATAATCGCGAGGCCATAGGCCGTCGATATGGTCCCCAGCCCTACGAAGATGACGAGCAAGAGATTGTACGTGTTCACTCTGAGGTGGCTGAATTGGCCCATCTCGACGCCGTACACCACAAGAAGATGATTGAACTATAGAATGTACTCCAACAAGAGGAGTATGTCTCTTTTAGAACCAAGTGAATTTCCCACGCGAGACATTGGAAGCTTATAACCCCGCCTTCTGAAGTAGCTCACCCGCTGTGGGGTAGTCCATGCCGTGTGGTAGCTACTCCCGAACTACACCGCGCGGGTAGCGCACTTGTCCAGCGCGCGTTAGTTGCCAACGCTCTTTCATCATGGAAGACTAGTGGTGAGGTGCAAATAATTACCTGAGTTGGATGGCGCTAGAGTTGTCGAATATGTCGAGTCATCTGCAAGCATTGGACAGGCGCACATAGCAAAGCGGGAGCGCGGCTTTAGCTGGGGAACACCGAAAATTGCCGGACCGCACCATCTTCGTGACTCGAAAGGAACGCATGGCGATGCTGAGAATAATTGCAATGACGTGTTAAGGGAACGGAAGATGGTGATAGAGGAAGTCCAGCGATGACGTCAGTCGACACTGTTTGAGGTTCATCATTTGTGAACCACAATCCTACAGATATGAACAATCACAGCTCAATTCTTGATGAACCCAGCATCTCTTGCAATGCAACCAAAGGCATCAGCGTTTCATGCCTCAAACGTTCAATTCGTTCTAATCGATGCTTAAACGTTGTTACCGCACGTACCAAGATGCCTATCCTCCTCATCAATCGTCCACTCGATATCCCTGCCCATCAGTCCACGCGCGGTCATGGTCGCGTTTATGGGGCTCTTGGGAATAAATTCCGTTCCGCGCGTCGCCAGAATCGATAGGACATGTGCAGCAGCCTGGCAGAATTGTTAGCACCGGCTAATCTCCTCAAGGATCAAATATCATTTTCACGGCAGATGGCTTACCTTTGCATTGACCGTCAATGTCGTGGCGTTGGGATTCTCAATTGTATCACAAGCCTGGTGGTAGCACGGGTCTTGCTCGACGCCCGTACCAGTGTGGAGTCCTCCTACTGGCTTGCCAATATTGAAGAACGACTGGTAGTCGCTGCCACCAGTGAATCTTGCCGCGGTAACGTTAATACCCTTCTTCGTCATGTCGTCCACAAATGTCTTCTCGATCCACTCGCTGCCCGGAGGAGCGACAAGTCCGTGGGTACTGCCATCGCCATCGAAAACGCCAAAGTATCCGCGAGACACCATGTCGAAGTTGAGGTACGTAAGGATGTTGTTGGCTTCAGAAACATTGAGATTCGCAGTGTAGTACTTGGATCCAAGCAGGCCGTTCTCCTCCGCGCCCCACCATGCGAAGCGGACTTTGTTCTTGACGCGAAACCTTTCGAGAGCCGTCTTGAGCTCCAAGACGAGGCTGGATCCGGAACCGTCATCGTTAATTCCGGCGCCTGCTACCACGCTGTCGAGATGGCCACCGAGCATGATGACGTTCTCCGGGTCTCCGTCGATGGTTTCCGTGAAGACGTTTTGCGTGATCTTTGTCTCGATGATCTGAGTCTGCTGGAAGTACGCGGTGATCTCCTCACCAGCCGCAATGCGATCGACAAGAGCCTGTCCATCCGACAAGTTGATGAATCCAGTGGGCACATACTCCTCAGGGTTGGGTTTGCTCAAAGTACCAGCTGTGACGGGCGTCTCGACGTTGTTGTAAAGGATGACTGCGGCGGCACCAGCAGCAGCAGCAGGCTTCATCCTGCCCGCGAAGCTCGTGCCATCAGGGCACGTTCCTCGTTGTACAAGCACAATCTTACCGGCTACATCCAAGTTCGAATACCCCTCGATCGTGCATCCTATATCCCCAGTAGCGCCCAACACTAGCGGCAGTGTGACCCCCTCTGCGCTGGTGGAGGGCGAGTACGAAAGCCCAATCACGGTGTACGGCGAGTCATCGACTTTGAAGCTGATAGACTCAACGTACTGGAACAGTGCGGGGAAGTCCTGCGTCCAGGTTCGGAAGTTTGTCGAGTTCTTGGTGCGGGAGAGAATGTAGTCAACTGAGGCTGCATAGCCTGGGAATCCGAAAGCGCGGTTGCCGCCATTGGCTTTTGCGATTTCGTCGAGCTTGACAAGATTGCCCCAGAGACTATGTGAGTGTTAGGAACGGTAATTTTGGAGCTGGCGACAGCGCAGCGTACCCTTCAGTGGTGACAAGATCCTGGAACGGCTTCGAGCTGACCAAAGGACGCGGGTACTCGTAACTGGACTGCGGTACCGCCGCCGCGAGAGACCGCACGGCACCCGAGAGAACCAAAACACTCTTGAACAGCATTTTATCTCAAATGGGAGGAAGATGATTCAAGGGCCTCGCACCACGTCTCCACCCTGGCATCGTTCCTCTTATACCCGTTCCCGGTTCTCGGAAAGTGCTGCATATTAAGATTGATTGCGTGCGAGGATCCCCACCGTTATCACTGGCAGCACGAGCTTGGAAGTCTCGGCCGTGCTACGAGATCGAGAAAAGCAGGTCCCAAGAGATGTAAATGGAGGGTGCCAAGCGTGGAGTGCAGGTCCTCTTGACACCTGCCGGATCAGGCAATGGCACGTGATTAGAGGGCTTGGCTGTGTTCACGTCGTTTGTGGTGCGATGTCATGCAAAGGAAGGAAGGGCACATATGGTATTTGTTCTCAGACTGGTTTACTTCGACATGGATACTTGACCGCCTCTTCCTGCACCGCAGCGTCGAACAAATATTGCAACTGGATAATACCTCTGCAACGTGTATTCGGCCTAGAAACCGCCATCAATAGAAGGAATCATCGCTGTTTCGGGAGCGTAGATGGATTTGATGTGTGCGAGACTGATCAATATAGCGGAAGATGAAAACTTGATGATGAACACCATTATCACTAGAATAATAAGAGCAATATCACCAGTTGCCAAAGCTCACACTCAACATATTGCCTGATTTTCATCCAACTATTTCATTGTTTACCTACTCCTCCAAACTTCGTCTTTGGTGCATTCTATCAGGTGATAAGATGAGGCTCCGGGTCACAAGACATGACCGCACCCAGGATGCTGTATCACCAATAACACTTTGCAGGCAATATGATCCAAGTTAACCAACGACGACGTGTGATCGTATTAGCCATTACGGTCCTCGTTCGATTGTTAGTCTTTGCATAACCCAAGTCGTATCCCTCTAACCTTGACGCGATTTGCCTCAAGGTTCAGGAACAACGCAGACCCACCATGGACCACAATCCTGGATGATGAACACATTCCCCGCAAAATTTGCGACTAGACCTACCATGAATATGGCTCCAAAACTCCCTCATTCACTGTCGTATTCTTTCTGCGCTCATACCAACCGGACAATTTGATTTTGGCCCCCAAATCTCACGGCCCATATCATCACATCTTGGCACTGAACCAACGTGATGTTTGACTACTTCTGTCGGCATTCTTTAAAGGATCGATCAACTCTTCTCGATACCATTAATTCAAGGCCCAGGGAGACAAGATACAACACACATCATGGATCACGCAAAAGAGCATATTGTGGCTGGGTCTGCCAAAAAGTTTGCGTATTCCCTGCTGACTGAAGACGACAACTTCCGACTATTGAGAGTTCTCCCGGGGTGCAGAAGCGACCGAATGTGCTGCGAGTTATTTGCCATGTCGATAAAGGAAGCATCTGGCAAGTATATTGCAGGCTCGTACACCTGGGGCCCATCGTCTCCCACAGCACCAATCACCCTAAACGGCTCCACGTTTGAGATTCGAGAGAATTTACACGATTTCTTGAAAGTGTGTCGCCATAAAGACGACGCAGTTCTCATATGGGTCGACGCCATCTGCATAGACCAGTCGAATCTCCTGGAGCGCACGCACCAGGTCGGACTGATGGTCGACATCTACGGTCAAGCTGCGGCTGTAGCGATCTGGCTAGGGCCCAGTTCGGAGACGCTGGACTACGCCGTGGACATAATCGAGAAGCTTGGAACCGACGCCAGCATCCATCTCGATTCAAAACACCCCCATTCAGTCTTCGCGCCGGGTGAGGATGAGGCAGAGAAGACTGTTGAAGTAGCGGCGTTTTTCAACCTGCCATGGTGGTTTCGGGTTTGGACCGTGCAGGAATATGCGTTGGCCAAAAAACGGGTGTTTTACTGCGGGACAAAGAAGATCGAAGGGAAGGTGATCGATGACTACGCAACGAACGTGCACTCGCACCACTCCGATTGTTGCAGCCAGATTATGATCAGCCACCGGATCGGCTACATGGCTGTGACAATGGAAGACAGCGTCCGCAACATCGAAACATTGAGAGCCTATGACTCCAAGGGTGACATAGATTTCCTGCACACGTTGGGACGATTCGAATTCCGAATCGCAACAGACCCGAGGGACAGAGTGTACGGCTTTCTTGGAATCGCCCGTGTGCATGGCCACGAGTTCATGGACGCGCTCTACGACTGCACGCCTCAGCAAGCATGTGCAGCCCTTGTTTCAAAGTGGGTAGGCGCCTACGCGAACCTCGACTTCCTTGAGCACATCGCAGACTACCCTTCGTTCCCAACGCAGTCCTTCGTACCCGACTGGACCGATAGACGACCGTGGGATCACAACCGATGGGATTGCGATCATCGGCTCCGAAACTTGCAAGCGTATGATGCCTCCGGGGGGCGTCACACCGACTTTGCGATTGACTCCAAGGGCAGCGCGCATTGTACGGGCCTTATCGTGGATACTGTGAAGTCGACAACGGAAGCAATTTACCACCAGTTTTGGGACTTGATTCGGGAAGCTCGGGCACTCTGTGGCCTCGATGATCGACCTGATGAGATCTATGAGCCCACGGGGCAATCTATCCACGATGCGTTTGCCCTGACGATGGCGGCGGGGTTGCGATACAAGGACCACAATCTCCAGGATGGAGAGTTGGTGATCAGAGATACTGTCAATGAATATCTTCTTGATTGGATGGGATGGATTGAAGGCGCTGATGCCTTGTGCATCGCCGGCGGAACAGCACAAGAACAACTGGACGTGTACAGCGTGCACAATTTCTTTCGATCAGTCGTGTATGGGAGAAGCTTTGTTGTTACAGAGAGGGGGTATTTTGGTTTCGCACCAAACTCATGCAGGGAGGGGGACGTCGTTGCGGTACTATTTGGGAGCAAATCACCATGCATCTTGCGGCCCGGTAATCGCCCGAAGGATCCTGAGATCACTAAGAAGGATGCTGAGTGGAGAATGATGGGGACTGCATATATACATGGAATTATGCATGGTGAATGCTTGGGAACGGATGAGAGTAGGGAAGAAGTCTCTACTGTTCATTTTCGCATCATCTGATCAGTTCAGCTACCTGAGAGCTCGGTCACTTAAAGATTTAGCTATAATGATACAACATTACTAGTTCAATGTAGTCATTCGGTATTTCCATTTCAAAGCCACACGCGAAATTTACGCTTCAAATCGTCGTCTTCGGTGTGATGTGATGTGATTGTATTCATGCTCGCGCTCACTCAGATAGCTACGGGTACATAAGGGTCTTTCCTGTGGAGAAACAGAATATTACTATATAACCTAGCCCTCTAACGATCAAGGCCATTTCCAGTGACGAAAGACATACTCATCATCACCAGAGCGCCATTGCAGCCATAGTGAGTCCGTCCCTCGTATGCAAGGGAATCCGAGCGCCAGAATATCAGCCGTACTCCCAATCACCGTGAATATTCAAAGCCACTTCTGAGTTCCCAAGCTTTTCGACTGTCGACTCTCATATACTTTCGCGACACGCAATTCGCTGATCTCCCTGCTAAGAAGCGTTGTCGAGGTCCACAAGCACAACTTTGACCGCAGCTTGCTTATCCTGCCCAGATTTCGTGACTCAGCTCGTTGACGGCACAGGGACGTTGAACATGTAATTCGCCTTGATCGAATCCGATTGGCTATAGTTACAGATTAACCTACAATCTCGAGATCTGGGAAATCTGGAAATCAAACAGTTTCAGTGACCCATACCGCAAGAGCAAGGAGTGATGTATCGTCGGTTGATAAGATGCTCGCATGTGGGTGAAGGTGCCAGTATTCTGAAGCACTTCGGGCACCATGCTGGGATCCACACAACCACCGTGCTCTCCGTGTTCCAACTGGGTCATTTCCGATCAACAGTACCACGCATACTGCCACCTTCTCTTCGGGATGCCAACGTAGCATTCCGGGATCGCTCGCAGAGTTGGGACGTAAGCTTTGTTGCAAGTTTCGTCCTTCCCCCCAAGGGCTCCCATCGAGCGTATCGTTGATACGTGACGTCGGAAATATGAGCAATGACCCGAAGAGAAACGCCGACTTCTCGTCGTTGAGAAGCACTTGATCGGGACCCGAATCTCTCGATGTGGACAAGTTTTCACATCGCCCTCCCGGAGGTTCGTGAACTCAGTTTCCAACTTTTTGACATTTACGAGCCTGTTCGATTTCCGCCATGTGACTGGAATACGCGTGGACTGTAGTCCATGCCCGATCGAATGTCTGGCGGCGGTTGCTCGACATGCATACTTCATATTATGACTTGGAGCATCGATGACACGGCACACGAGTCCAACAGTGTCGATGCACAAATGTGTGTCCCATGCACATGTACAGCGGGTGATGAGGGTAGTCTTGATCCGATATAATACGCTCCAGTAACACCCATGTCGTCATTGGAGGCCCCAACTCGTATCGGAGAAACCTGTATAATTACAAGGGCCACACAGCCATGTCTATGGGGAATCATATACACCACAACCCACCACTATCGTACAGCACTCCTCCATCTATTCTCTCTACCCCTCAAACACCCCATGCTGCAAATCAACACCGAAGTCCTTGGCCATAACTCTCATATGCGCCTCAATATCCTCCTCCATGCCCCTCCCCACCCCAATTGCCTGCTTTACTTTACTCCACGTAAAGTACGCATCGCTCAACAACAGCACAAGCCTAAATCTCAGATGCTTGACCCAATTGCTCCATCGCTGACCCGTGCTAAGGTCCTTGCTCTCGGTGAGCGCGCGGCTCGCCCACAGCCCCGTAATCTTGATACGATTGACCGGACTCCCCAGGAACTGATTGTTGCCCTGTACGATGCGCAGATTGCGGCCGATGAAGATGAGCTCGCGGGGCCACTTGGACTCATCGCCGAGGATCTGCTTGATGCCGTCACGGGCTTTGCTCTGCATTTCGAAGGCGCGCTCGGCTTGATCTTTGCCGCTGCCGCCTTTCTTGAGCTCGTTGAGGGTGTGCTTGTCACCGCCCTCGTAGGGGCGCATGAGCGTTGCCGAGGCGAAGATGTCCGGGTTGTTGACGCCCCAGCTGGTGACGATTTCTTTGATGGTGTCGTTGTCGAAGGCCATTAGGGACTTCCAGAAGAGGGCGTATTGGTGGCGAAAGTGCGGGGACATTTGGATATAAAGGCCGTGGTCGATGAGGACGACTTCGGGGTGGCCGTTGGGGAGGCGGCGGATGAAGATGTTGCCGGGGTGGGGATCACAGTGGACGACGCCCCAGAGGAACATCTGTGCGCTGAAGAGGTCGACGATGGTGTTCATGGTTGTCTTGAGGGAGACGCCGAGGCCACCGTTGCCGTCTTTGCCTTTCCACTGTTTGCGATTGGGCTTGTAGAGCGTGTGCTTGGGAGCGTCCTCCGGGACAGATGCGTCGATGTTAGACCTGTCGCTGGGCAGGGGTGGCAGATTTGTGCCGCCTGCTCCCGGGCTGCCCTGCCGAAAGCTGCCCTGCCAGTTGTTCTGTATGCCTTCTTTGTCCCAGAGTCGCACGCCCTCTATCCATTCTGCCGTCATGACGCGCTTGCTGGAGAGTTCTCTGTAGACCTTGGGGATGTAGACCCGCCCGTTCAAGCGCTTCTCGCCAGCGACCAACTCGCGCATCTGCTCTGCATTGTCCGCCTCGTTCTGGAAGTCCGTCTCCAGCATCAGGCGCTCCGTGATGTACGGTACCAGGGTGTACAGAGGAATCCCAAACCACCAGGTATACGTCTTGGCCACAACCTTGAACGCCCACAGATCCCAGCCGACCTGGTCTGCAATCTCTCTCTTCTGGACCTTGATGGCGACCTCGCGGCCATCAGCGAGCCTCGCCCAATGCACCTGCGCCACGCTCGCGCTCGCGCGTGCCGTCTGCTCCATGATGCCCTTGCCCTGCTCGCCGGCGAAGCTCACGCCGAAGACGTCCTCGACGCTCTTGCCAAAGTCCTCGCGCACCACCCTCTCCACCTCGGCCCAGTCGTTCTGCGGCGCATCGTCGAACATCTTGGAGAACATCTTCTGGAATTGCGGCGGCAGCACGGCGCTCTGCATGGCAATGGCCTGCCCGATCTTCAGGTACAGCCCGCCATTGTGCCGCAGCAGGTCGAATACGCGCGTCGCGTTGCGTGCATGCAGCTCCTCGATGCTGTTCACCAGCGGAGGGTGTGCGCGGAAGTTGATCTTGTAGTCCAGGCCTATGACGAGCCCCGTCTTGAAGGTGCGGAAGCTGCGCGTCAGGGCCGAGGCGTTGAACTGCTTGTCGAGCACGTACCCGGTGCCGACCAGCGCAGACAAGACGAACAGGCGGCGCACCCATCTTCTCCTGCGGAACGGGGGCTTGGTCGTGCGGACTCGCGGCTTGGGGAGGTCGGCCGGGTTGATGGGGCGCGCGGGTTGGAAGCCGTGCGACTGGACGTAGCGCACGAGGGACGGCTGGAGCCGTGGTGAGCGCAGCGAAGTCGGGGTGAGCAGTCTGGGCACGACATTGTGGGTCTGGACTCCTCGCAGGAGACGCAGGCCATGTATCATCGCTACTCTACAAAGTGACGAGGCAACGAGGATGGGGCGCCTGTCATGGTGCGAAGCGCGACATTTTGTCCACAGTCCATGACGTGCGCTTAGCACCGAAAGCCCCGACGCCAACGCGGACCCTCCACGGCCGGCCTGCGTAGTTCGTCCGACCCGGCGGGACATGATCGATGCATTGCCATTCTTGGAGCGACGTGTTTGTCATTACCAGTTTCCATTTCTTGCAAAGACATGTACAAGCTACTGATGCCGTTTCTCGCTCCTTATCCTCAGCCCGTCGTGGGGCCTTCGCATCCACGTGACGCCTTCTTCGAGCTCGTCATGCCTCAGGTGAACATGGTGATACCTCTTCTGCGTCCATGAAGAACGAGCCCCTTTCTGCAAGTGCTGGGATTCTTCTTCTTCTTCTTCTTCTTCTTCTTCTTCTTCTTCTTCTTCTTCTTCTTCTTCTTCTTCTTCTTCTTCTTCTTCTTCTTCTTCTTCTTCTT